GCAGGGAGGAATCGGTTATTTTTGGGCGTTTACCTCAAGATCAAGTCGAGCTTTCTCTTCCAGGTCAGTCTGCCAGGGAAGAAGTAGGGCAGCCAAACAATTAAGATGTTTGGATCAGATCACTTAAGCTGTGATGCAGATATCTATGTGTCAGGCACGTTGTGAGTCACAGCCCTGCGTCTTTTTGGATGCAGGTAATGGAAGGAATCCAATGATGATCTTTGCATGACTACATACATGGGTGTTTCATACTGTTACACTTGATTCCCCCAAAATACAAGATTGTCTGGGAAAATAAACAAAGAATAGTTGTGTTGTTATGTCAATACAGCAAAGTGTCTGAGTGGATCAGTTGTCGTGTAATCCATAAATGCTCACCGTCACTGATGGGGAAGGGCCTTTTGAGTTCATTCTGTCACCTGTGCTTCTTGGGTGAATAACTTATATTCTTGAGATGTAGGGCAGGCAGAGACAATAGAGGTGGTTTGATTTTAGTGGGAGGTCTGGATTGTCCCACATATGCAATATATACAGCATATGTAATCCTTATGTAACCCGTGCCAAAGCACTGCTGCTTTGTTTTGCCTTGTATTTTTAGCAGTGTGACAGCATGGCAGGGATGAGTATCATTCTCTGCTCAGTCATGTGCCTCTGAGGTCGGTCTCACAGCCAGGCGACACTGCAGAGCTCTCCGGTCCTTCCCATGCATGGGACTGCAATACATTGGGTCTGTTTTTGTTTTGTTACAGTTTTCCACCAATTGAGTAGTTTACTTTGTGGGTTCCATGAAACAATACCCTCCAAAACCGTCTGTTTTATATCAGTTTAGTCTCATGAAAAATCCCTCTGGGTCGTAAAAGCTGCAGTCATTGCAAGAAATAAGATATCCAATGTACTGGATGAGTCCCTGTGTAATTCCACCCTTCCTCTCATTATACATTCCATATGATGTTTTAGTTTTCATATTTCTTTTTTGAATGAAGAAAAATTTGATTTGGATTGGCGTAGGTTTATGTGGATGTCCTGCTCTTTACAAAACCACACATGTTGACCACGTTATGGCTTTCATTTTCCCTGTGCAACACAAGAATGTGACCCCAGGACCTTGTGCTTGCACACATAAAGAACTTCATCAATGTCTCACCTCTTCTTCACACTGCCTGTCAGCCTGCTTTTCCAAACACATGCTCACATGCAGGCTTTTAATAGCAGATTATGAGCACATTTAAAGGTGCAATAGGAATGTGTCTGTTTGTCCCCACACACATTATTTCCTATTTAACTTGTGTTGTGGTTTTTCTAATGATGTAGCTACTCTAAAATCCCCCCAAAACTCAGAAATGTTGCTGAGAATTTGAATTATTATAGAAAACAATCTGTATTTTGGATCGGTATGATCATTTTCTAAAGTACAGCTGTTTTCATATTCACGAGGGCAGCAATTGACTTGTTTTCATTCTGAAACTAGAATTGGAATTCGGATCTTCCATACCTGCGCAAACCCATCGGAGCATTCACATGCTGCTCCGGTGGTCCCACTCCCCGAGATGGGAAGTTCATCCAATTTTGGAACATAAAATTAAGATGTGTTGTAAGACTTTGTTGACAATAAAAAGCAGAAAGGAAAGGATCAGGTGAGTCATACAATGTGCAAGAATGGGACGTTCTCATGAAATGTGCAAGTCAGGAACACATTCTTACAACACCACAATAATGCATCAAATTGCACTATTTTCCAATGTTTCTGAAAGTGAAGTGTATAAAATATATCAAATCCTTATCAAAAAAACTAAACAAATTCCTCCAAGTTTCTTGAAAATTAGGGAATTCGTTTTTCTGTAATCCTGCCAAAGACAGACAAGCCAAGTTGAAAACCAAGGACCCTCTTTTTTATTCTGTGTATTTTGTATTACTTTCAATGTTTGAATAAATATTTCTCAAAGAGCTGTCAGCACGTGTTCCACATCCTGTCCTCGGGGTGTAACACCAAAGGGTTGTAATGAGAGTGTCCCAGGAACATTTATGAGTCCGCTCTGTGTGTTGGACAGGAAGTTAAATGCGGTCTTTGCGGTCATCTGTGCAGATGTGCAGGTCAACACGGTCAAATTTAGTTTAACAAATTATTCTCGAACTGATAACCACAAGAGGGCTGCCAGTATCGAGACAGATTTACGATATGGGATTAGGCCTGGGGCGATATGAGGTAGAGAAGGACCAGACATCTTCTGCCTTATCAGGGCTGACCAGGCATCACTTGGCTCAGAAAATGAGCTCACTGTGATTGTCTTTACATCAGTTTCTCCCACTGACAAATTGATGAGCTGACATGCACTTGCAATCCGAGCACAAGAGCCAGAAACAGTTTTTTCTCACCATCTGTGAAAACCAAAGAAAGAAACTTAGCTCATTGACCCCTGGAAGATCATTTAATTAAAGCAATAAACACCCGGCTTTTGCTAAATTCATGTAAACAAACCATTCTTTCTACCAGATGTCCTAAACTATTGGAATAGAAGAAAAAATACAGAAACAAATTAGATTAAGCTCCATCTGCTGCAGAGCGAATGACAGGAGTTTGTTGATTTTATATCAAATAAAAAGTATGTCTGTATTTTAAATATTTGTGTGGCTTGACAGCATCATCTGTCGCAAAGGCACTTTTCCTTCAAATGTTTTCAACACTGCACGCACGCACAGGCCACGTTTTAGACGTACTGTAGGAGATACTTTCTCATTTGTAGAGGTCAAGATGGTCTCATATCTTTCACTTTGATCTGTCTTGACTTACACTAGTCTTGACAATGGTGACTGAGTCGAATAAAAGAAGGTGCCAACAGTGGATATTGATCTTGCTAGCATCACTTGGACTAGAGTTGGCAGCTTTTTCCTCTTTTCCCCTGAGCCCATGCTTTTCCTCTAGCTAACACGCCCTGCTTATTACGAATCTCTCCCCACACCCTCTTACTGCATACGGTTGGAATCACAGACCTTGCACGGTTTAATTTTTCATAATAAAATTGAAATCTGCTTGCAATTAAACGACTGTCCAAGTGAAATATTATCACTGATTGTGTCACCAACGTGGTTTTAAAAAAATACTAATTTGCCATCTGTGCAAAATTCTGTTTAACATAAAAACTGTTTATGGTCAAAGCGTCCAGTTTCCTACATCCTTCTGCGTTTCTTGCTGTGCAGGTACGCATTGCTGGTTTGTCATGAACGCGATGTGATCTTGTGTTTTTGCAGGAGAATAGTGAGAGTGCTGGCGGGGCTGAAGTTTCACTTAACACACAGAGACACACTCCTGTCCCGAAGGCTTCAGTGTCAAGAGGTTTAGTGATGAATCTGGCCACTGAGACTGACTAAGACTTTACACCACAACACCCTGAGGCTGCCAAAGACGCACACGCACACGCACACGCACACGCACATACACTACTAGAGGTTAGGGCTCATGGCAATATTTCTTCTAAACTTAATAATAACGGGGTAAAAACATTTGACATTTCATACTGCTCTTCTTTGAGTTGTCACTATTGAATTATTGTGGGTCACAGTAAGTGATCTTTGGCCCCGATTTATTCTTCAATTCTGTAATCTGGTAAAGAAAAATGTAGCATTTCTTTAATCAGTACGGGACCGAAGACACTACCGGTGAACAAGCCTCGTATTCATCTAATCCATTTGTGTAAATTACATTATAGTGGTATTGTATTATAGCTGGATTAAAGGTAGCCATGTAGTGATTAAAATACATATTTAATGCATATTCCTTTTATCTTTTTTAAACTAAAATCTAATTGTCTCACAAAACAACCAAATCCTTCCTTTAATTAAACAGACAGAGCCTTTTCTGCCTCCAGCAGCTACCCTTTATAGATATCCCATAGCTTCTCCTCACACCATTTATTTTGTTCTCAGTTGTGTCTTCGACCCCACATATTTTCAATAGTTTTGTCTGCGACTCTGACCTCAGTGATCCCTACTCATCTGTTTCCTTGAATTGGCACTCACTGTGATCATGACACGGCAAACAAACAATCCGTGGTCGGTTGCAGCGCTGGATCCAAGTACCACTGAACTTTTCCACTGGATCCACATGCGCTGGTCAGAGGGTGGTGCAGGTGCTTGTTAACTCTCAGAAATGCACTCCGATGAAACTATCACAGCTGTGTAGCTCAAGTCGGTGTTGATTTTCAGGAGTTTTTCTGTTATAAAGTATACAATCATAACTGTGGTACATTTTGCGATGATGTCCTGGCAGAATACCACATTCTCTCAATGAAAACCCATGATTTCCTACATAAATGGGAAACCGTGCTAACTTCTTTACCCGCCCATGTCTCAGTACCGTCGAGCCTGTGCTTCTCAGAAAGTGTAGCGGTTGTCATGCAGTCAGGAGTCAGGACATGCCCTTCCAAGGACAGATTAAGGAAACTACTGTTTGGCTTTCATCACCCCGGCTTAATACGCTCCCTGATATCCCAACGTTTTCTAATCAACGGGTTTTTATGTGGCACCGACCTATAATGGAGGCAGAATGTCAAATGTGAAGAAACACCTCACTGATCCCTTTTTTAAATGCACACTCAGGTCTGTGTAGCCAAACAGGCTATAGATTTTTTGAATTAGAGAAAACCCGAGCAACAACAAATGTCCTTTCCTGTTAACTGCCACATGTTTTGTCCAATTGTCCTTGAACCAGGACGCTGAACCTTTAGCTGGTTTACTAAAGTCAGTCTGGTCAAAGGTTGCCAGCTATCTGCCTGGACTGAAAATGGCTTCCTATTGTAGCCCCTCTTCACATTGTACACTCTTTTTTTATTGTCCTCTACTGGCCTCTCCCTTAACACGATTTATGACTGTCAGATTGTATTTTTACTGCCATAGCAAGGGCGCAAGAACCGTCCGTACCTGCCACCACAACGAAAATCAATCTCTCCCCTCTCCCCCTCTCCTTCTGTCTCCCTCTCTTTCTCTTCCCCTCTGTATCCGTGCAGGCAGCCGGCGGTAATGGGAAATGATGGAAGACAAAGGCCCTCGTGTAGCCGACTACTTTGTGGTGGCCGGTCTGACAGACCCGTCCAAGCCGTTGGACCAGGAGATCCACTTTGATGACGTGTGCCACAAGTCGGCCAAGCCTAAGGCGCCCATCACTGATGTCGCCGTGGTGATCCGCTCCATGGGCGAGGAGACGCCGCCTGGGTTCACCTGTGTAGAGGAAACCCCAACAGGCCATTCAGCTGATCTGAACAATGGCGGCCTCATGGTGCCCCAGATCTTCCTCTGCTACCGGAGAGGTCGCGACAAGCCACCCCTCACTGACCTGGGGTAAGTACCAACAGGGGCTACACCATCATGCTAGTAGCTCTGTGAGGCTGTAGTTACACACTGTGGTGCTTGAACCTGATGTAGACGCTAATACAATGACGATGCTAACATTTTGATTATTAGAAGGGTACAATTTCTCCATTCTCAGTCGTCTTAGTTAACCATGTTACACTTTTGTAAGCACAAATTATAGTGGAGAATGATTAGAATTGTCTCCTTTTTTGCTATGACATTTGGAAAACCATAGTCTAATCATCAAATATAAAGTAAAAAAAAAGCTATATTTTAATTCAGGTACCACCAAAGTTCAAACAATTCATCACGAGGAAGGTATAAATGTCTGAAACGAATTCAAGAAGATTTATCCAATCGATTTTACTCAAGACCACAAATGTTAACCCCATGGAGACGCTAGAGTAAAAAGTCAAGGGATCACCAAGTAGGCTCATCAATGTCCGTACAAAATGTCACTGCAATGCCCCCAATCATTGTGAGATTTCATTCTGGATCTCAGCTGTGGGGCCATGCTGCCAGTATCTCATCAGCCCCTGTCCTGCTCAGTTAAAGGTCCCTCATTTGCTCAATCTAATGCTTTGCAGCCAAATTGAAGAGAATTAATGATCAACGACCAACCGTCAATAGGTGAATGACCGCAATTGGCTGCAGTGCTCTTTTCAGTCTGAACACAATCGTGTTGATTGAGATTCAGTGTGAATGAGTTGTACAGAGGAAAATCAATTGTGTCAAATCCACTGTGGACAGGCAGCTATGTTGGCATTGCTTCCACAGTACAGTATATTGAAGAATCCATTGGTTCTTATAATAAAAAATGCAGCTTTGTCATCACAGGGTCAGGGTGTTTAGCTTTTGAAGATGGTACATATAATAAGGGTGCTTCTAGAATAAGGCAGAATAGCTTTTACGTTTTGGGGCACACATTTTATAATGCTTCTTGATGTTGTAGTACCTGCTTCGGCTTAATCTGCCCTAGAATATATTATCGAAACAGTAGTAATGGAAACACTGATTCACATTTTATTTCGCTGACATTTCCGAAATTGGCTATAAACTTAAAATGTGTCTACTGAGTTTTTCAAGGCAACTCAAATGAGTCACGGTAATGAAGTGCACAGAGCCTGAGAGCTCACACACACACACACACACACACACACACACACACACACACATACACACATACACATACACACAGACATTCTGTTAATGTAATGCAACATACTGTGTCAATGTCTGTCTCATTCCTAGTAATGATCAGCTGCTGCTCTCAGCAAACACTGCAGTTGCTGTCGTGTTTAAAAGTAGTCCATATCATGCAGATTCTAAAAGTAAAGTGTTCTGCTCTGCCTAAAAATCCCTCCTGTGCAGCAGTTTCTACAGCGTTTACTTTCTGTCTGCCTTGCAGCCGTTCCCCATTGTGATTTTGCAACAAAAAAGTGAAATACGGTGAAGTGCTGTCACAGGTGTCCTCCTCAGCAACATCCTTAGAACCGGGGGATTCAGTACCATTTGTTGAGTCTCACAGCTCTGGCGGGCCGCAGGCGGGTGGTGACAATGCTAAGGAGGCTCATATTGGCCTCTGACACTACAGAGTGCAGTGCTTATCAGGCACTGACTCAGTCTCTGCTCAGACACTATCAGCAGCTTCTGTGTGCTGATAGTGTAAAGGGGCTGCACTTCTCAGACACTGGCACGATTAATGGGAAGCTGAGTTGTGTGTTAGCATGTGTCATCATTTATGTGCATTATTACAATTGTGATAGGGAGTTGGTGCTCAGGATGCAGATGGGATAATTAGTCATATATGTGAGCAGTAGCGGAAAAGCATGCAGCTAAGTACAGCTCTACATTTAGGAACATATTCACATATTTTCCACCGTTGAACCAATAAATGTAACACTTGGTAGGTGTGCTGCTCAGTACCTAAGGAAGCGCAGTGTCAATGGTGAAGTTGTTTGGATAAGCGGTTCTCGAAAAGGCTGCAAGCAGCAATACCAGAAACCGAGCAATGGGCCGGTTTGAAGAGAGACTCTGCACTAGTCCACTTACCCAGACAATTGTTATACTGTAGGACATGTGATGATCCACCCAAACATCAGCACATCCTGTGATTGCTTTAGTAAGTAGCTGACAACAATATATTTAGCATATGGTGTTTTCCATGTGAAATACCATCTCTGCTTCTTTTACTGGCAGGTTATTGTTTATTTCTAGGGGCGTAAATCAATTTTTCAAAATGTTATAAATCAAATGAATTACAAAATAGGAAAAATAATTACTCAAAAATTGCATTGATAATTTTCTCTTGGAAACGACTGTAATTAAACATATTTCAACAAAAATCACTATGTTATCATGGCACATGACAAAAGCTTTATTTTTAAATAAATACTTTTTTATTTTAACAATAATTTTACCTCTATTTTTTACTAAACATACTGTAAGCCTATCACTTTCCCTATAGTGTGGCCTTCATATGTATAAGAACACAAAACATTTATTAGAGTTGGGTCAGCACAAAACTCTGACATTTTCACACCACTCTTTTTATGAGGCCTTCAAGGTCCAAAGACTGGTTTAAAATCATGCAGAATTGGTGCCACTGTCAATGGAGAAAATGTGTCTGTTGCATTGGTCTGACGATGGGCTCTGCATCGACAACAGGTCTAATATAACAGTGGAGAAAGAAGTGCTGACTGTGTTTGGCCTTAATGCGAGCAGAGCAGAAACACCACAGCAATGAGTACTGAAATAAAAGCAGACCAAATAAAAAAATCTGCAGTAGGCCACTCTGAATTCTGTTTTTCCTTCAGCTTAGACCCCACAAAAGCCTGGCTAGTTCCACTTGAAACAGTAATGGAGGATAAGTGCTTAATAAAAACCCAAAGAGGGATGCTTAAAGTGACTGCTACTGTAACACGCTGGAGTTGTTGTGCACTAAGTGGTGGTTTGTGTGAGTGTCTTCTAGTGCCTCATCACAATACTGTACTGACTGTGTACTGTACACAAATCTACATACATATACTGCATGAGTTCTGTCAGAGACAACAAATCCCAATTCTGATCTTAACTTAAAAATGTAAAGAAATTGTCATTAAAAAATATTATAGGCGATAAACTAAACAACGTTTGCTCCACTTTGAAGCATGGTGAAGATATAAGAAGGACCGCATAAAAAAAGTCAGCACTCACCCAACTGAATTTCCATAACTTGCTTTCCACAGCTAAGCCCATATACAAGAGACAAAAAAGGTGAAATAATTAAATCAGTTACAACTCTTTCAGTTCCTCTCTTGGCTGCAGTAGTTTATGTGAGGTTGACAGTTACTTTTACCTGATTGTTTTCATCACCCAAACCGTCATTCTTTTACAGGGATAGACATTAAGGGTAAGGGCCAGTGGCATTTTATTGTCACTGGCCCCACCATTGTAACCACTGGCCCAAGAGCATTCGTCCAGAAAATCCACTAATAATGAAGAAAATGAACACATTTGTTGCAATAGTAATTTATGCACAAACTACATTACTACTTGTACTACAACATTTGAATCATCAGTTCTTCCTCATTTTCCTCAATTGTTCATATTTGGTTTATTAAAATAATTATATTGTGGTCATTGTTAAAAAATGTCTGCTATTATCATTATTATGAGTATTATTATTTGTATAATGCGCTTTCTGTCATCAGGAGTTAGACATGTAATGGCTATGTAATAGATTAGATTAGAACCTTCATTCTCCTAAACGTCTGGGACATTTCCCTATAGCGAATACCTTTATATTTTCTACCCTTCACTTACTTGTCAGCATAGGTCGGCATTGATGTACAGAGCCGACAAAAGACCTTGTTTATATTGGCATCATATTGAAGCCAACTCCATCGATCAAGCCAGTGTGGCTGAAACTTTCTCTCCCTCTTCTTCTCATACTCCCTGTCACTCTCCTTTAACTCCTTCGGTGACAAACAGCTGTTTGCTTTTCACCCAACAACGACAACCGCCTCACGAAACGCTATGTTGTAGCATTAATAAACAAACAAACAAAATTGCTTGTCGAAATATCAATACCACAGGACCAGTTTTTTTTTTTAAAGCAATATTTTTAGTGGCCCGAGCGGGCAAGTGGAAAGTACGTTATGCTGGCCCGGGGTGTCTAAATAGTGCTTCCGGGCCAGCGGGCCATTTATAATGTCGAGCCCTGTTTTACCAGCTGATTTTATAATAATGAGTTAGAGTCACAAAAATGCCTCCTTGAAAAGACTGACTGTAAAAGCCGAATGCGCAGTTTATATATCTTGTCATTTTCCCTTCAGTGCACTCGTCTGTCAAAAACTTGCTTTCAGCTCTCATGTTGTTGTGTTATTGATTTCACAAGTGGCCCTGGGCTTGAAGTTGAGGAGACATCTTTGCACTGAGCTTGCCACTTTATAAACCCATCGATCGCTCTCTGTTTTTTCATGAATTGCATCAATTCTGCTTTGCAGTTTATGAGATGCAAAGCAGACATTAAGCTTAATCAACTCCTTCCTGTCAGCCACTGAAAACTGGGATAAACGCCCAACGTCAAACTTAAACTGGAAGCTGCGCCTAATTGGCTCAATGAGCTCACGACTGCATAATGTGCTGATTAACTCTCCATGGTAATCAAACTAATAAAGACTCAGTGATGTGGAGTTTTGTTGGCTCACTGCCGTGCTGTGCCCCCCCCCCCCCGCAGCGTGCTGTACGAGTGGAAGGAGCGCCTGAAGCCGGGCTGCCAGCTGATCCAGACCACACCCTCCGGTCGCCCCGCCAACATCAGCGGAAACTCCTCCCAGCGCATCTACGTCACCTACCGCCGGGCCCCTGAGAGCCAGCCACACAGCGCGCTGGCCCTCACCGACATCTGCATCATCGTCCCGAGCAAGGGAGAGACGCCCCCCCACACCTTCTGCAAGGTGGAGAAGAACCTCAACAGCAGCATGGTGAGAGAGGCACAACTGTTACAACGCCACTTTTTACTTTTTATTTGGAGAGGTGTCCGATTTAAAATGGTGTGGTCATGTTGGGAAGACGCAGAGCTTCTCTGAGTCTTTTGTCATGAAACATATTGAGCTGTTGTGAAGGTAAGAGAAATGAGAAATAGGGTGCATCTCACCTGTTGCTTCTTTTTCCAATTAACTGTGGTTTTCAGTGGTTTGGTTAGAGAATTCAGCCCCGAGGTTACTCACTTAAAAACTGGCTTGTGCATTCAAGTATGGAAAATTGTGTAAAACCATCCTACATTGCCTCGGGTAGTTTTCTTATTCTGTGTCTTTATACTGCTGCAGTCTCCTTTTTTGTTGTTGAGGGAAGTCCCTGAAGTCTTCTCTTGTGTTCAGTTAAATCATCACCTAGGGCTGCACGATTTGGGGAAATAATCGAATTGCGATTTTTCTGACAGATATTGCGATTGCGATTCGATTTCCGATGTTATTTTTTAAGCGACCCAACGGAAGTTTATTGTAAAATGCGGCCATATCTCCGGCTAGGAAGGTCGTATCAACGTGCTCCCGTCTCTAGCACCCCCGCAGCCCGAGCTACGAGTGAAAGAACTAAACTTCCGTTGGGTTGCTTTAAAGTCAAGCTTCAGTTTAAGATTCACCCTGTAATAGAAACATGTGATGGAGCATTACTAACCTGACTCAGATGGTTTGTTTCACCAAACCATCTAGGAAAGCTCCATTGGAAGCCATTTGGAAAGGGCAGGCACTTTCAAAAATACTTGGCAGGTGATTGGATCAATCTGTCTATCACCTTCTATCATGGGCCACTTCTGATTGGTTAACAATGGCTGGTACATGTGGAGCACAGCACTTCTGATTGATGTGGATGACTGACACACAAGAATAAAAAAAAAGTTTAAAAAGGTAAAAAGAAAATCGCAGGCTTTGCGATTTGATAATCACATCATTTCAAATCGCGATTTCGATTTAAAATCGATTAATCGTTCAGCCCTATCATCACCCACAATTTACTCTCAGACAAATATATCTTGGTATTTATAAAATTGTTGCAGTGACAGCTTTGTCTACATTTGGTATTTTACAACGTCCTTTGAAAAATGATATGCGTCTGTGTGTGTGGCTTTACATGTGTCTGAAAACCACTGCATGCAGCTAGTGAGTGTGCCAGAGAATGCTTAGTATACAGAGACGTGTGCTGCATGCAGGAGAAGTCAAGGATCCTACAATAAAAACGGTATTTAGCTTCACATTTTTCATTCTGACTAATGTTGGAGCTTTGAAGATCATGTTAATATTTCAGCACAGTCCTTGGTGCTTACTTCATGTCCTGCCCCGGGTTCTGAAAGATTTATGGCAAGTTCGAGTTGCCGTAGAGCATCTTCCCCTCACAGTGACTAATTGTTACAAACAAGATGTTTATCAGATGTCTCATCACTTCTCTCTACATGCTAATAGCTCAATGAGTAAAGCCTGTGAGTTTAGTTGGGCTTCTGGTTTCAATGCGTAGGTTTAAGCTGTCTGCGGGGTAATAAAAGTATTTTACAGTTTATAGATAATTAAACTGACTGGCTTTATGGGGTGTTTTAATTGGATTATAAATGATAATAGACTGCCTTCGTGGACAAAGGGCTTTACTATTAACCTCTATTTTTCACACTGTCATTCCCACACACACAGTATGCTCAGTTCAGAGGAAAGGTTGCGAAAAGACCAAACCGCTTAGAAATGCTGCAGCGAAACACTTCAGCGGTATGATTTTAAAAACATCTCCTGCTTCTCAAGTTGCCACAGGCTGCTTTTAAAATGTAAGGCACATCACGGTTTAAACTGCCAATCATTTAGTAGAAAAGTCAGCTAGTGAAGTCAGTTAAGAAACTTTAAAACGCTTTAGAAGGAGAAAGGACAGGATCAGTTCATGAAATGGTGTCCTGATAATTAGTGATTTCTCTTGTAACAATTCCAAATATGTTGCTCCTTCCACCAGGAGCCCATGCAGCAAAAACACAATTTACCACATGATTTGCATTTTAAAGCGGCTTTACATACAAATCAACCTAAATGATCCTTTCAAAAACATCCAACTGACATTGTTGTGTGTAGTTTCATCATATCAAGATTAATTCCATTTTTGTATCAGAGAAACTAGACATTGGCTTGAAATTTGATTCAACTTGGCACTATTATTATGCCTCTTGTTACTGAATGGCCCTAAAGTGGCGCGTGTCATTCATCACAAACACCACGCTAACTGTTTCTGTTGCTCTCTTGTTTTCAGTGGGGCTCCTCTGTCTACCTGTGTTATAAGAAGTCTGTGGCCAAAACCAACACAATAGCCTACAAAGCAGGTAAGCCCTCCTAATCCTATAACTACCAGTGCACGCAGATCCAAATACCAATATACAATACAAAATATCAGATAACCATGTTGTGTGCAAAAAACGTAATCTTCCTTTAGTCACACTTATTCTGCCTGTATGACTATTGGATAGTCGTAAATGTGCATTACAAGAAATGTGGACAAGTTGTTCTAAAAAATAAGCTGATTTTGAAACAATAACTATTTATTGCATTGACACTTATTAACTATATTTGTTGCAGCTGTTGTACAAACGTCTCTAGAGTCTTCCACAGAGTGAACTGGCTGCATGAGGACATTCAGATTCAGCTGGGCTTGCAAGTTTGGGCTTGTTGAAGCATTTTAATGCCTCAGAATTAGAGATGAGATGAGCCTCTGCACACCAATATTCTTCTCGTATAATTAAGTTCAAGGTGTGCCCTAAATGTAATGGTATTATGAGGCTTATTTCACATTAAATCCATTTGACTTTTAAATGCCAAACACAGCTGACAGAAGATTGTCAGTGTGTGATAACACTGTTGGCTCTGTGTGGCTGTGTTTGGCTCGGGCTCAGATTGGCTGGCTGAGGTTGTGTTGTACATATCTTGAAAAATGCAGCAGACTGTGAACGGAGCGATCCTATCTGTTTCTCACTTTGCATGAGTCAGCTCACACAAATTATGTTTATTTTCTACACTTAAGGCCAGGAAGAATTATGCAGGCATCAAGGTTTGAGTAAAGACTAATGTTGCAACAGTTTGAGCCAGAACTGAGCAAAATAAATGTTGGTTTGTTGGGGGATACGTGGAAATATTGTAAAGTGTGCACATTTAACCTTAGAGTAGTGCCTACACCAGACATTCCTACCTTTTTACAGTGTTTCCCTTTTCAAACTCAACACTTTAAAGTGTCTTTAATTATTTAACATATACTTTTCCAAATCCACATAAGCCGCTCTTCCCATTGGCATATATTAGATTCACCACACAGAACTTATTAAACAAGGAGATATGTAACTTTTAAAGCTGGTTAGCCTGTTCTTCTTATTTATTTTCTCCAAAACAGTGGTAAAAACCCCAGAAGCCAATGAAAGGAGTTGCATTTTCATCAAAACAACATTATGATTGTTGTGTTAACTGCACATACGAGGCCACATTGCCTCCTTTGAACACTCACAAGCCATGTCCCCTTTTGAAAGGGGCCATGCATTGCTTATTTCAGATAAAAGGCACCTAACCCTTTGTTTTAACCAATATATTCTCTGTACTAGCTCAAAAGAACAACTACACAATTGTCTGCTGCTGTTGATTACTGTATTGTTAAGCCAGGTCAAAACATTACTTAGTAAAACATTTTGCACCGTTTTTTGTCACATGTGTTGTGCTTGTACAGTACAACACTCCTTTTGTCAAAATGTTCAATAATTAGCATGTAACTGGTAATGTTACTACTCGGGGTCGCTTATCACTAAACAAAATGACACTGCAGTAGACAAAGGTAATGACCCGAGTCTCTGCATAAGCTTTTCGAAACTGTAATCTGATGAATATTGTACAAAGCATCATAGTTTTAGTTGCGGACACAGCAATTGGTGTTTATTTGTTCCCTCAGTGGGGCTATTAATGTAGCTGCGCACTTGCAGGTGTTTTCATGATGAATATTTGTGGCTACACTCTTAGTGAAGTGTTTAAAAAATAAAGCCTAACAGTCCATCCTTACAACTGAAAGTGTGAATGTGTGCTTTAAAATGTGCACGAACAATCTTTCAACATCTATGGAATTAACTTTCTTATTAAATATGTTAGAGACCGGTTTGAATGTACGCAGTAAAACAATGTTCACAACACAAACAGTTTTTCTAAAGTTTGTGTTTGTTAATGATGCTTGTAGAATCAATGAGCCAAAGTTAGACAAAGCACAGAGTTAAGAAAGTTCACAAATCAAATCTCTTCTTCATTGTTTCTCATTTGTGTCTGCTGACAGTGACTAATGACCCAAAGGCCTGATAACTGAGCAGTAATTGCTTGTTAGAAAGCCAGGAGTTTCTATTGACACTCTGACTCAATAAAGTACATTATCAATGTGATTATGATGGATGGAACTTGTTTTGTTTCTTTTTAAACTCTGTGGAAATTCAGCTGGCATCTAAATCAGCTCCTAATGGTGATCACAGGGGGAAGGTGCACTTTGCTGCTCTCTTAATTGAGTTCTCTGTTATTTTCCTGTCCCAGGTTTATTCAGCAGATATCCAGAGGAGGACTATGAGTCATTCCCTCTGCCAGAGTCTGTCCCTCTCTTCTGCCTTCCCATGGGGGCCACGATTGAGTGCTGGCCAGCAAACACCAAATACTCCCTCCCCGTGTTCTCCACCTTTGTCCTCACCGGATCCTCTGGAGAGAAGGTAAAGTGGATAAATACACACTTCTGTTCTACTTTTTTTCTCAGCCTGAAGAATACCAAGAGTCTCAGTGGCAGTGTCAGACAATAAAGGCTGCCAGTGCCAGTTAGACCACATCAACAGACTTTAACTGCCATCTATACAGCTGACATAACCACAGACCAACGCTCTACAGTGTGGCATGACAAAACCAAAATACACTGCATGCCCTAAGGGAAAGTGGGTCAGGCAGGCATGTTGACTCTGTCAGGTGGAACAACTTCTAGTGTTTCTTTTTGTAGGATAAGCCCATTTGTTAAAAAGAAACCCACAAATAATGTAGCACATCTAAAACACTAATTACTTTTTGTACATAAATAGCAAGGATTTTTTTTTTTAAATACACCCAAAGCCAGAGACACTATGTTTTCACATTTACCTCCCATTCTCCTGAACTCGAGGATAAACTGACTACAATTTCACAAAAATATCTAAAAGGGTGGTTATGCTTCTGCACAGATAAATGTTTTTGTGAGTATATGCAGGACAGGTGGTGAAGGGTTACGCACACATCTCAAAAATATCAACATGTGTAGTGCCGGTCAGGCCCTTCAAACGCGCTGATGGTTAACCCAGCACCCTATGGGGAAGTTTTCCAATGTGATTTCCTCAACAGGTTAGCTGGCCGGCTGTTGTGATTGGTCAACTGCTTTGATATGTCCCGTCCCTTAACCTATTACGTACAATTTGAAGCCAATAGAGCTGCAAGTGTTACATTGTAGTGTCACTATGTCGCTAAAGTAAACAAAGGAGTCCAATCGAGTTACTTTGGTTTGTTTAAGACGTTCTGAAAATTAATTATTTAAAGATTTCTTCTATGTTTTTGTCCCACTAATCTGTACATCCATAGGAGCTGCATGTACGTCAACTACATCATACTTGATTGTTATTTATTACACTGACAAAGACAGGCTCGATTGTCCTTCTTATTCATAGGATTTTGCAGACCTTTTTTTCTGAATACGAACACACACTAACACGCAGGCGTCCTCAGTTCAGTTATCAGCAAACAAAGAAATGGGCCACCATCCCTTTCCATTTCGGGGGAACTTTTTGTAAACTGACTCACACAGGCCGCCAGCTGATAAGCCAGTTTGCTTTGATCTGTGTGTGAGTTGGTGGAGAGTCTCAGATTTCCAGGAAGCAGAGGGGATTCATTTGGCCTGATGCTGGATGGGCTAACCACTGTCTGTTTGCCCACAGTTGGCACTCAGGGTATTGATGTTCAATAAAGGTTAAACAGAGGTGCACTGTGCTTACTTTATTTCTGTGCTCATCGATGTTTTCATCTGTCTATTCAGCTGAAGGTTGGCTCTCACCCGGAGCGTCACCCTTCCTTTAGAGGAGGGCCGGGAATATTCAGAGGATGGGTAGAGGAGTCTGACTGTTTGCTCCTTTTTTAATATTAGCTCATTTGATGGATGTAGCAGTTGCTAAAAGAATACTCTGGATTGTTCTCATTTCTTCAAAAGGCTGTTTAAGGTTCCAGACTTATTTTGAGAGTTGAAGTGAGAATAAGAATTAGGTAAAGGTTAGTCGTTTTGGTCTGTGTTTGTGTGTGGTGTGCGTTTATACATACATTACAGCTTTTATTAGCAGATTAATAACCATATTGGCCACTATTTAGATATATGTATAACTTTGTAACAATGAGACACAGCATGGCTTTACACTGCTTAACAATCGCGCTTCTATTGGCTAGCGCTCAAACTGATTGTACGTGATAGGCTAAGGGACGGGACATCTTTAAGCGGTTGACCAATCACAACAGAGCCGGCCAGCTAACCAATCAAAGCAGACTGGGCTCTGGTTTCAGACAGAGGTGCTGCAGCACAGGCAGTATGAGAAAAATAAAAAGCTTTTTGAACATTAAAGCATGGAGACATGTCACAGTGGAGGCAAAACATACACAAATTAAACCTGAATTGGAGCACAATAGGGTCCCTTTAAGTTGTACTCCATACGGTGATGTGATACGTGTGCAGATGCTGAGCTGTGTATCCGACATGTTTCAGGTGTACGGTGCCGCCATCCAGTTCTACGAGCCCTTCCCCCAGGTGTGTCTGACCGATGTGCAGCGCTCCCAGCTGGGTCTCTTGAGTCCAGATCCAGTACAACCAGCCTCCTCCAGCTGTACGGAGACATCCAGCAGCAGCCCGGCCAAAGCCCAATGCTCCGTCTACACCAACAAGTGCATCTGTCTGCTTTCCCACTGGCCCTTCTTCGACGCTTTCCGCAAGTTCCTCACATTCCTATATCGCTACTCCATCTCCTGCCCTCACGCCCTGCCCATCGAGAAGTAAGCTCTCTTTCTTATCTTTTTCTTGCTAAAAGTGATTTTTACACGTTGTTCTTTATCAAGTTGCAAAGTGTGGGTGAAGTCACTAGTTTCAGATTAGTTTGTTCACATTCTCCATTTCCATTATAGATGTTTAAAAGAAGTCTTTAATGTAACTCAACCTAGAAAAACGTCACTCTCCCAGATAATGTACAGTCATAAAGGTTCATTTTCTAACCACTACTCAATACTGATTCATTGATTGTTTTAACCACCCGTTAGTGGTGCAGGACACATTTTAACCTACGTGATTTGATATTTCCTGCTGAAATGTTACACTCCATAACCGTGTCTTTTTTTAATACAGTTTTTAATATTTTGTATATGATAGGGAGAGTTACTGTAAGTTCAGCTTTTTAGAACTTTGAGTCATGTAAAATGATCTTTAGGAGAAATGAATTAATCTTTCAATTCTTGAACCAATGGGGCCTGAAGTACCGGTAGCTCTTATCATTTCACAACTCTGTAATCTTTTCTGACAGCATATCCTCTGTTTAATGTTGAAAAATGTCTCTAAAGTCATATTCTGACAGGATTTAAATCAAAGATGAGCTCAGGTGATATTAAAAACTCCCAACCCCCTCTAGAGAAATAAATCCAGTTTAAATGGAACTCACAACAGAAATATTATTTATTCCTTGACAAAAGTGCATCATTCTTTAACAGCAAATTACCACACACTGTCAACCTTAATAAATCAAAGGAGATATTATCAATATGTGATATGCAGAGGTACGGACAGCAAAGCCTTATGTTTAATGCTGATGTGGTTCTATCTGTACACTAGGAAAATGTCTGTGCTTGCTAATGTCGCAGATAGTGTAACAATATAGCTAACCAAATAGCTAAATAGGTCCTGAAAGCAAGTTGTTTGAGGTTGAATATTTACTTTACCACTCTGGTAAGGTGAATTAACAGAATATATTTTACTGCTGCTCGTAACTCTTAGGCTTCCCGACTTTAACATTGTGCATTGACTTATCATTAGAACATTAGCTGCCTGTAGCGGCCAGAATAATAATGAAATAAAACAGATAATTAACTTAAAATAACACTGCCGCTGAGGCAACATTTAGCGAATCTTACGCAGGGCAATGATCCAAATCCAGTCAGTAATCTCCGTTTGTGCATGATCCAATATCATTAACAAGAGAAAAATGAACAGGTTTCCTATCTATTCCTTTCCTTAAGCCTTTCCTATGGCTTTCCTTGTGGCTTGAATCACCCTTTTAAAAAAACATGTGCCTACTAGTGCGCTACCCCCACCACCACCTGTCCCCAATATGTACAATTACACCAGGGTCCTAATCACCCAGTGCCCAAACATGCCCTTGAAATAAAAGCATAAAAACTCCTTTAAACCCAATTAAATAACACAATAATAATACATTCATTTTAAACAGATACAGCAAGTAAATACATGTTTAACTATTAATAATATAAAGCAATATATAGCTCCAACACTGCCCATATTTGTTGCCTTACCTTGCCATTATTCTTTTTTCCCCCCACAGGCACATCTCTCATTTTATGCACAAAGTTCCCTTCCCTTCCTCTCAGAGGCCTCGCATCCTGGTGCAGGTACGTTTGGCTCGCAGGAGGCATGTATTGTTCGCTGCATATGGCGCATGTGATAAATAGCTATTCATCATTTTGCAGACAGTAGTGTTGTTTTCATACATTGTTTACGAATGCCTGCAGGGTGCCGATTCTTTCCTCCTTTATGGATGAATATTAAATGATTCAGTGCAGGCATATTTTGTTCGGTTGGTTTATCTCACTCTCCAGCTTTTCTGCAGCTTTCCCCTCATGACAGCCTGATGTTGAGCCAGCCAGTGTCTTCTCCCTTACCGCTCAGGTAAGAGCCGCTGCACACACGTGTCTTCTTGTTATATGTTATAGAATGAAGCAATTTCTAACTGACTGTCACAAGGATGCACTGTATGAGCTGTATATGGTTAAGCATAGTTCAGATCTTATATTGATTTATAAGACTGTTAGTTGTTTGAAACATTTTCAATAAGAAAGCACAGGTATATCTTATATACTGTATATTATATTATCAATTTTGAGCTGCCCTCATACACTTAAAAACAGAATTCATCGAATACCAATATTAGATTTCCAGTTCAACAATATTTTGTTAGTATTTGTCGACCCCATAATCTGTTTAATGGCCACAATGAGTTAAAACAACCTGTAGTAGTTTCTCCTGGATGTATCTGGAACATTTTTTATTTAATTTTGTTTTGCACATTTGTGTTTGTCGTAGCGGTGGTCGATTTTCCACGCTGCTCCAGAACCTCGGACCAGAGAACGCCGTCACCCTGCTGGTGTTTGCCGTCACTGAACACAAGATCCTGGTGCACTCTTTACGCCCCGCCGTGCTGACCAGCGTCACCGAGGCTCTGGTGTCGGTAGGTTCCTCTCTTCAGCCTCAGACGGGGGGTCGTTTTCTATCCTCTCACCTGTTAGCTTTAAACTCTTAATGCAGCCATGCCCCTCATTACTTTTGTAAACTCCTGCTTTTGTATTTTTAGTAACTGCTGCACTTTTTAATGTTCCTTATGTTTTTATAGTCACGGAATTTGTCACTATCAGTTGGTAGCGGCTTAAGTCATTAACTGTGTTTTGAGGTATGGGGATTGTGGTTATTGTCATCCTCAACCAATTTATTTACATCATGTTCTTTTCTCAAAGTAAGCTGTACTGCTAACCTGAATGTTGAAATCTTTTAAATGAGCCCTATTTTATTTTTTACCTCACTTTATGTTTCTCATCTTCTCCATCCTCTTCCTCAGATGATCTTCCCGTTCCACTGGCAGTGCCCGTATATTCCTCTGTGCCCACTGGCGCTGGCTGACGTATTAAGCGCCCCCTGTCCATTCATCGTAGGAGTGGACTCCCGCTACTTTGATCTTTATGACCCTCCACCAGATGTGAGCTGCGTGGATCTGGACACAAACACCATCTTCCAGTAAGCCCTGAATGCAAAACCTCCTATTGTTGCTGCTATATTATTTATGTGAAGGGTGATATCTGTAAAAGGACAGTTTTGGATACTCTGTTGCCTTCTCATGATGCAAATTAAGTGGGATCATAGTGTGTAGGATTAACCTCAGGGCATTAAGCTGCATATAGGCTGTACGGCGCTCTTAGTTTAGAGCTCAACATTGTTTCCTTTGCTGCATATTTTTTTCCAAACCACAAAACTGCCAGTTCATGAGTTCTAACTTTAGAGGCCAGACCGTTTTCCTGGAGTCTGGGTGAGAATGGTTATTTTTCTAGTGTCAGGCTCGTTTTAATATGAAGAGAATGCATTTTTCTAAGGCCTCATGTAAGGTCAGTTATGGTTCACATCATTTTTTCTGGCCTCATTACCAGTCAAACAGCGTTAGGGTGGTCTCCCCCCCGGCCCGCCCGCTGTTCATGTTGGTTTTGGCCTCTCAGCCTCTCCACAGCTCACTGTATGCTTCTCCTTTACCAGCAATGAAGATAAGCGAGCCCTCACGTGGAAGATCCTGCCAAAGAAATCCTGTAAAAACCTGATGAATGTGCTGAGCAATCTCCACCAGCAGCTGGTCGAGGGTGAGTTCTGATCTGATAAAACTAAAAAACATTAGAGCATCGGTAGTCCTTCATGTATGGCAAAGTAAACTTTCAGCAACCTTTTCCATTCACCTGGTTTTCAGTTTGTGCTCAGTTCAATAAAAGGTTGCGGCTGTAAAAATAACTGGGTTGTCATTCTGTTGCATTTTCGGGAACACGATACTTGAGGAACTACTGGAGGGACTTCCTTTTACATTTTGCACAAAAATTCAAATGGACCTAAAGGATGAACTGATGAGATTTTGGTAGCCAAATATCAAAGGTCACTGTGACCTCAAAAGCAATTTTTTTTGGCCAACTCAAGAATTGATATGCTAAGTATGACAATTTCACACAAATAACTTATAGGACAACATTATAAAGTGATTATTTAAAAATTAAAGTGACAGATCCTCACAGATTGTTTAAAGCTTTATTTATCATCTTTAGTTTCAGTCCATGCAATTTGTTCTCCATTCAAATACTGTTCTGCTCTCCAATCCACTCATTGAAATATGAATAATCCCATAATGTCCTTTAATTACTACTCTGCCCTGCTGTGGTGCTGATTGTATTTCTGCCAACTTTCTCTGCTCCTCTAAGAGCTTGCTCCCTAAGAGATCATGAAACCTGCTGCTTATTGAGCTGCAGAAATTGAACAAATTAATTTCTGATTCAGTGAAGTGAAAATCTACCCACTTTCTGATGGATATTGATAGGCCTGGCAGAGATTGGAGTGGAGACATTTAAGCCCCATGGATTTCGGAAAATCTCTGAAATCAACTTGAGTTTATTTTTTCTAATGATGTAAGCCTTACCCTTATTTGCTAATATGAATACTCACTTACTTAAAGCAGTGCTCTGGTGTAAGAACCTTCAATACAAATCCTTTGATCGTAAAGACTCCACCAAAATGCAAAAGATGGAACAGCAGCAAAAGTGATGATTCGACCATTATGTTGACATGTAGAGATTCTATTACAGTTTGTAGTGATGGCTGCTGATGTATTTCCTCTTCTGTCTTTAGGTCAGCAGCGTCCTGACGGGCTGCTGGAGCTGAGCATGAATGATTTGACAGAGTTGAGCTGTGGTAAGAGCCTCCACACGCTGGAGCTGGAGATCCAGGAAGCCTTTCTGCGCTTCATGGCGGCCATTTTGAAAGGCTACCGCTCATTCTTGCGACCCATCACCCAGGCACCTTCTGAGAAAGCGACGGACGCCAGCTCCCTCTTTGACCTGCAAGGTATCTGGAATAATGTCACTTTGACCACTTGTAACCAAAACTTTGGGTCACTTAACGTAACCTCGGTTCTTTGATAACCTGCAGTGCAGAGGAAACGGCGTGAAAAGAAATGTATCTGAAAAATGATTCCCAACACAGTGTTTACTGACCACAGATGGTTTAAGCTTTACTGTTTTATTCCAGTAATCTGAAGAACTTGTTCTGTCAAGCAAAATAAAGCTAGTCCACAACAAACTCCTGCTTGGTAGAAATATTGGTTTGTCGTGAATAAACAATAGAAAGCCCATAATCACTGCATGATTTAGAAGCTTTGATTATAGTCATTCTAGCAAAAAATAATCAGAAGGAGCTTTGGCATGTTTTGACAGCTCTCCTCATGCACACAGATGATAATTGAATGTAGGAAGATGACTTGCAGTTCCAAGGTCAAGAATAAACTTTCATGCCCAAGGACTTGACAAAACATTTCAACAGAAAGACATCTATTTCGGAAAAGCTTTTTCTGATTATACTTGGAATAAAGGGGCCAATATATGTCAGTCAGTTATGTTTGGTGGTATAGCCCTGTATAAAATACAGTATAATGTCTGAATTGGCTCTACAGGCCTGCATCTCCTTGAGAAATATCACATCAGTCTTTTTTAAACATCTGGAATTCACTTAGAGCTTCTCATGTACCTCAGTTCCCGAGGGTCATGTCTAAGTCAAAGTTATTGGAGAAAAAACTGCTGATATTTACTTAAATAATCGAATGAGTTACTGATTTAAATGTTAAAATAGCTAAGGGGAGAAAAAACAGTTTCGAGTACAGGACATTGTAGACGGATCAAAAAAGTCAGATCAAAAATATTTGAACCTTAAAGGTGGGGTAGGTAAGTTTGAGAAACCGGCTCGAGATCGCTAGAATTTGAAAATACACAACCGGAGAAAATCTGCCACTTCCTTACAGAGCCCCTCCTCCAACACACACGAACGCGCACATGACCAATGAGGGCACGAGATAAGTTTGTGCACGAGATGGAAGGCTGACAGGCAGGTAGGCCATCCAGTTATTTTAGCCGGGCCGGCTAAAATGATTGGTCGTACTTTTTACAGTATTACGGCTTCCACAGATGACATTTTTTTTATGGATTTTTTGTCAAAGCACTTCAGATATTCATTGCTATCGGGATGTTAAGAGCATTCCATGGAATATAACAAAAAGTGTATCTCGAGCCGGTTTCTCAAACTTACCTACCCTACCTTTAATTGTTTAGTTTGCTCCACTTTCATCATAATTTAGGCTTCAGCCACAACTATGAAGTTACAGTTACAGTCCATAATTAGCGCTTATGTGTCTTTGAATACATAAACTAAAAACTGCGTCATATGTAGCTCCTTCCTCTCTACAGCTGGCCAGCTTCAGAGACAGATGGCGTTGTTTAATACATGAGTTCTCATAAGTGTCCATCCTCAGCTCTGAGTAAACACACACAGAAAGTGTTTGGGTAGGGAGGTTTGAGGAGTTGTTGGATGTTCAAGGCTGCTGGCAGACTGAAGGTTAGTCTGTTAGCGCCGCAGCTGCTAAATGCTCCCGAGGCCCGAGTGTGGCCTCTGGATGGGAGCCCGTGAAAGCAGGGTGACATCACAGCTGAAATGAGTTGGGGAGAAATCACGGAGGATAGCTGTTGCCAAGGTCGTGTCCAGTGTGAGTTATATGATACAGCAAAAGGAATGGCTGCAGTACATTACATAATGACTGGAGGAAAGATGTAACTGCTGCTCGTGCATCATGTGTATGAACTCCTGACCGTTTTTTCGGATCTATAACAACAAAATTACACTGGGTGTTAATGTGCCTGTGTAGATTTCCCTGCGGCCCCGTAAAAATCACAGTTTCCTCCATCATGTGATTAAAGTGCTTTCAGTCGGACGGCTGTGACTTTATTAGTGTGTCATACAGATTGTGTCTGCAGTTTCTTTTAGCTTCACAAACTGTGGTTAATGTTGGTGTAGGTGTGTGTGCATCTATTAGCGTCCAAGGTCAGAAATAATTAAAGGATGACAAAAAACTTAACTCAATACTGGACCTTCGGTGCTCAACAACTACGGTATGGGTTTTTGAGTTTTTTGTTGCCTTAATGAAATTATGAGTATCTAAAAATGTCTACTGGGCTCCTCTGTTGATGTTTCAAACATTGTCATTAAATTATTGAGCGGATGTTCACATTTAAACACATTACTGAAATGTGTTGTTGTCCACGTTGGCATAAAAGTTTTCAATTCTTAAAGTTAAATCTTGACCTTTTTAGAAAATAAATGCACAAAACAATTTCACCTCATGGTTTTGTGGTTTTAGAGCGGTCTCATTCAATGTAGAGATAATGTATATAAAGTTTAAAAGCAGATACTAAATGTAATTCGAGATGAGATGGTTTTGTCAACCAGTAATCATTAGTTATTTTTGTCAGCACAGTTATCTGTTCGGTTTGTCTTTTTGAAATCCTTTACAATGTTAATTCTCAAATATGACTCGGATCTTGTTAGAAGGTTCATTGTAGTCAGTGTCGATGTTTAGAAATCAAGCACTGGGTCCTTGTGGGTTGCTATTTTGGGGTCTCAACGCTTTTTTTCAGATGTTATTACATAATTGTGGCTAATTGCCATCATTATTTAACATTTACATATTATATTTACATATACATTTTTTACACTTTATTCAACTTACAGTGATTCCTTCCAAGAAAAGGAAAACTCTTTAACTCTTTGTATCCGCAATGTTTCAACCAGCAAATGTGAGGAAATTGAACCTACGTTTGAATTTTTTTATAAATAATTCATTACTCAACCAATAATTCAAGCAATAAATAGGACATTAAGAGGGATCGCGAGAGTGTTTTTAGACTCTGCTGGCAGTAGGGAGTCGGATCAGTTGATGGTCCAGCTGCCAGTGTCAGGACTAAAATATTTATCAGCTTCAGGAAGTGTTCCTCTGTTTCTCGGTTTGGCTTCCACCTCTGTGCTGTCGGCCAGTAGTCATCCATCCTGCTTTCAGTCTAAAACTATTAGTCTGTTTGGCTGCTTTCAGGATCTGTTACGGAAGCCATTCACCACAATGTTGCACATCCCAAATCAGCCATTAGACTAATAAAATGTGTTTGCTTGCCTTAGCAAACAAGAAGAATGGAGGTTATATACACTAATGTATATATAAAGACCCTTCTATAGGACGATGGAGTTTTTAACCACAAAATCATACACATCTATACCTTTTACCAGTAGATTAAAGTTGAAGTATGTTAAAAAAAAACTTGCTACTACATTATAAATGATCTTTTAACCGGTCAGCACATTAGAAAAGAAAATAAGTCTCAGCAATGAAAGATAACTTTTATTTGTAAAAAAGCTAACCTAAAAATTTTTTTTTGTCCCCAGGGTTCTTAAAGAGCCGGGACCGCTCCCATCAGAAGTTCTACTCGCTGATGACCAAAACGCAAATGTTCATCCGCTTTATTGAGGAATGTTCTTTCGTCAGCGACAAAGACGCCAGTCTGGCCTTCTTCGACGACTGTGTGGACAAAGTAAGTGTGTTGGTTAATCACACAGCACAAACTGCATATTTTTGTGTTCATTTGAATGCAGTTACATTCAACTTCTCACAAAAACCTTCAAATCATCTATGGCAGTTTCACCAGGCTGCTTTGCTTTGTGCTCCACTTATCATAGTATTAATACGTTCCACTCTTCTGTGTTACTTCACATGTGATAAGCCAAACCTTTCCTTTCCCAATTTCCTGAGTTTCTCTTTCTCTTTCTTCCTCTGGTTGTGAGCAGCTCTACAATTCCGAGCGGAGTGCAGACAAAGCAGGCAAGGTAAGATTATAGTTATTTTGTTTTCAATTCTCACCTATTACGTCTACATTTTGTCCTCAGATGGAGGATTTGTGCATGGTGCGTGGTCCAAGAAAATGAGTTCCTTATGAGATCTTTCCATCTTTAATGAAAATCTGAATTTTCCCCATCTATATCAAGTTTGCTGAGGCAGCAGTTTGTCTTGAAACTGCAGCTCCATAGAAAATCCTTGTGCAGTTTTCTGCAGAGATTTCTGCCCTAAATGTTTCACGACTGGCTAGAGTAAGGGCTTATACCGCTTCAGTGGTTTGTTTAGAGCTAATGGAGCTTGAAAGTAGTTTCTTTTTACATTCCCTGGACTCATATCCTTCAGAGTGACAGTATGAAAAGCCTCGGTGTATCCTCTTTGCTGCTCTGGGAGCATTTGCGTAGTGTGACCTCATGTCCTCACATAGTAGTGTTTCTCTATCAGACTGTGTGTTTTTGTGCTGCAGGGTTACATTTGATGTGTTTGCAGTCTTAAAGTCCACCCAGCCACTCGGTTCCCCAGGCACGTCTGGTTCTGCAGGTGACATTTGCAACAAACTCTGAAATAGACTCAGCTGTCCTTGGTGTGTGTGTGTGTGTGTGTGTGTGTGGTGTGTGTGTGTGTGTGTGGTGTGTGTGTGTGTGTGTGTGTGTGTGTGTGTGTGTGTGTGTGTGTGTGTGTGTGTGTGTGTGTGTGTGTGTGTGGTGTGTGTGTGTGTGTGTGTGTGTGTGTGTGTGTGTGTGTGTGTGTGTGTGTGTGTGTGTGTGTGTGTGTGTGTGTGTTGTGTGTGTGTGTGTGTGTGTGTGTGTGTGTGTGTGTGTGTGTGTGTGTGTGTGTGTGTGTGTGTGTGTGTGTGTGTGTGTGTGTTGTGTGTGTGTGTGTGTGTGTGTGTGTGTGTGTGTGTGTGTGTGTGTGTGTGTGTGTGTGTGTGTGTGTGTGTGTGTGTGGGTATTGCGCAATAGCGGAAGTGAACGCAGAGGCCAGCATCCACAGCCTCCCCTGCTTGTGTGTCAGCTCCACGGGCCATTACATTCTCCAACTGTCTTTCCACACTGTGCCTGGTATACATTATCTACACACACACACACACACCGAGCTTGAATGACACACAAAGACCCAGAAGTAGTACTGTAATGTACTAAATTACAACTAAAGACACAGCCACGCAAAAACTGCGGCATGTGTACGGCTCCTTATGGGTACTGCAATTTTTGAAGTGCCGGAGCGGCGTTCCGGTGCTCTCCGTCAGCACTATACCCCTGTCAGACGAGACATATACCACGTGATGACACGTTAGGCACGTGTTGTGTCCTTGGCCAGGAAAAACAGGCGCTCGCTTGTTTAATTCTTTTGCGGTCTAGATTTCTTTAATTTATTTTTTTTGCGTGTGTTTATAAATTAACTCGAGGGCCGTATCAAATGGTCTCGCGGACCGTATACAGCCCGGAGGTTCCCCACCCCTACCATAGACCTTAATGTTTTTTCTAAAAGACAGACACTTTTTATGACTCCTTCACTCGGACTGAGGTTATTATCACACTTTTATTTTTATCAGACTGAATTATAGACTTTCAGCAAGTGCTTTCCTTCACTTCCTTCCGTACAAATAAAATCAGCGCTTGTAGCTCAAAAGCACTTCTCAATTTATGATGCTTCCCGGCATGACCCCTCATATTTTATATCCACCATAACGTTGATCCTCCTGCTTTAAGATTCACTCGCTGTACAGAATGTCTGATCTTTCAGCCAACTGCAGTAAAACGTGTGCAGTAGCTCCAAATGTCAGTGATGATGGGTGTCGTCCATTGTGCTCACTGTATTTCATTTTGCCATCTTGAGGGGTTTTTTCTGGCACCATTTCATAAAATCTGAGCACTTTTCAGACCATTAAGCAGCAATAACGTGTTGTCCTCTGGAGACGTTCTGCTTTCAACTTCACTTTGAATAAATGTAATATTCTCTTGCCTTTTCAAAGGATTCAATAGTACTAGAATGTCTGTATAGTAATATTGACAATGGTGAAAGCGTAAACATTTACTTAAGGAAGGGTTATACAACTAGTAAAAGCCATGCCATTTACTTGAGTAAAGTAATCATTATGCAGAATGAGCCATTTTAATTTATTACACATTATTTTATCATATTTATTGATTAATTATCAACCGTTATTACTTTATTGTTGAAGCTGGTAAACGTAGGGCTTTTTTAAACTCCAATATTCTACGATTTAGTTTATGAATTTCACCAAAGGCTCAATATAGTGTTATCAATCGTCAGAATGTACTTGTGGATTATGTTTTGTATTATTAATATAAATCTGCAAAGTAACTAAAGGTAATAAAGGATTAAAAAACGAATATAAATAAAAGTGGAAATACTTTATTAAAGTACCTCACAATTGTACAATATTTATTTAAATATACTTAGTCACTCTCCACTACTGTATATTGATCAATCAGTTGGTAATTCAGAGCTGGATTACAGTAACTGATCTGTTGTAGTTGCTGTATAAAAGTAATAATAAAATAATAATAATAATATATATATCCACAGGACATCTTACTGTCTTTTTTTCGCTTCTCTGTACAAAAGCAGATATCAGCAGCAGAACAAATGTGCTGCTCACACACTGGCACAGCTCCCTCGAGGTGCAGATTTAAATGTATGGAGTTGACACACAGTGACTGGGACAAGTGACCTATTGATCCGTCCGTATAAATCCTCCTTGCGATGTTTAGATTCTCACAGCTTCTGACATGTCTGCTCTCCCTTTACTTTAAATCAATCAAACCCTGTTATTCCCTCACAAGTAAAAATCCACACAACGATCTATTGATAATGGCTTATTTTAATTTATAGTTTGGCTCCCCATGATTCTCTTTTAAGATAACTTATATCTGATGTTTTACTGATACCATTGCCAAAATGATGGGACCCTCAATGTATTGTTTGTTATATCAAGGGGCCCTATTGTGCTTTTTGGGGTTTTCCTGTTTTCTGAAAAGGCTAAAATCTTAAAGTTTCCTCCAGAGGGAGTTTCTCTCCCACACACTCCCCCCTTGAAACACCTCCATTGGAGTCCTTAGTTTTCTTTCTCAACATAGTGACATCACTATGTAACACTCGCGCTTCTGTTAGGTAGCGCTCCCACACATTGTAGGGAGCTGGTTTCAGGCAGAGTTGTGAAAAGAGACTCATACAGGCAGTATGAGAAAAATAAATACCTTTTTGAGCATTAAAGCATGGAGACATGTCAAAGTAGAGGCACAAAAATAGGCCTCTTTATAGTATTGTCTGCTATACTAGAAAGACACTTTTGGGGTGTTTTTCTCCACAACCAGTGACATTTTCTCAAACAAGGAGTAGCAATAGTGGCAAAGTCTGCTGCAATAAACATTTGATGGGTAATGTTGCTTTAAATACCTACAGTACAGTATGTGTTTTCTGCAGTACATGCTACCTTCTGATTTACATTTGACAGTGCTGGATAATATGGACATCTGTTCAAGTGTAACATACTGTAAGTCATTGTATATGATTTGGCATAATATTGCACTGTAAGAGAAAAGTGGAGGAAATAGGGGCTAGTGTCATTGTTGTGTGTATGTGTGGGCTGCAGAGTGAGTTTATAAACTAGAGTATAGGAAGAAAAAGGGAAGCGTCAACTAGGTCACCTGCTGTCATGCTCCCTCAGCTCTCCCAGTCACTCAGTCTGTCGAAATCCTGCTATTAGGGTGACAGATACAAAGCTGTTCTAAAATGATGTGTCGGTAAAAAAAAAGAAGTGTTTTCAGAAAGGTGAATCAGTCCGTGTTAGGCCAAATACCCTCCATGCAGACACTGAAATATGTATTACAGGGCATAATGTTAAGCTCGGTGTTGAACTTACTCCCTGTTTGCCTCAGCGCTCAGACGTCTGTTCATGTTTTTGCGCTCTGTTCTGCAGGTGGACGCTGACAGGCCGGAGGAGAGCCGGCTGATAGAGATTGATGAGTCTCAGCGCAGCGAGCACACAGTCTTCATCACGCCTCCAGAGCTGCCCCCCCTGCCTGAGGGGGAGGAACATCCACTCTGCTACAGGTGAGAACTCTACCATTAGCACACACTTTTCAACTCTAACAGGGGAATACATATAACATTTCTCAGTGGCTGAAGTACATTTACTCAAGTACTTAAGTAAGATTTTTAGGTTCTGTACTTGAGTATTCCTCATGTTGTGCTTCATTTGTTTGATAATGCATCACTTATTATAAGTAATATGATATATATATTCTACTAAAATGTGCATTTCTACCTAATATAATGTTTTGTACGTTAAGTGTGATTTAATGCTGATACTCTTACTTTTTCTCAAGTCAACTTCAGTGAATATTTCTAAACTGTTGTAATGTTATTTTTATTTATGTAAAATGTATTAATATTAGTTTTTCGTCTTCTGATTTTTCTTTAGTTTTTTTATGTTTAGGATTTTTTCTTTGTTGACTTGGTCAATGCTTTAACAGATGAAAAACCAAAATGATTATTTTTATGATTATTATTATTAGATCGACCTGTCACATGAATCATGTGCAAAGCCTGTGATTTAATTATTCATCAGGCTCATTTTATTTATTAGACAAGTTGTAAACGTGCTGATTTTAGTTTCAATCAATCAATCAAAGTTTATTTATATAGCCCAATATCACATATTTGGCTCAGTGGATGTTACAGTTTGTACAGAATATGAATACGAATACGACACCTAAGTTTCATCTCCCTGCATAAGACCAACTGAAAACAGTAGGAGAAAAACAAAACACAATAATACTTTGCTTTGATGGTCTCTGATTAAATACCAGCAGGAGTCCAGCTCCCTCGCTGCGACCAAAATCTGATCGCTGCTGCTGGACTGTGTGGCTCTGAATATGTGCTATTTGTATTCTGCATTCATTTCGCATTAAATAATTTATTCCAAAGAGTATTCAGAACCACTTAAGTTAAGCTCCCCTAATAATCCATAATGACGAACAGCTTTCCAGAATATATAATCAGATCTCTTTGAAGATAATTACAAGCAGACTGTTTTTATGATCACTATAACCTCGAAAGGAATCTTTTGTTGTTAGACAATGCCAACAGGAACATTGTTTTTATTCTCATAGACAAATCTGTGCCTGCTGTCATTAATGTGTGAATGTATGTTCTCCATCAGGTACGATGGCTTCCCAGTGTTAACTCTTGACCTGTTTGACCCTGTGGAGGGCCTGCGGACCCCCTCCTCCCGCCTCACTGCCAAGCAAAGCTGTCCCACCAGCCCTGCCCCCATGTTCAGACGCACCAAGCAGGTCAGCGCCGCAGTAACTCACTATCTCAATGATTTATTGATTTAGGTTCTGAGCTCGTGATCTTCTGCAGGGTTACCTGACATTTGAGAATCCAACATAAATAGACAAGTACCTTGATCAGAACCAGAAATCTTTATTTATCCCAAGGATGGTTAGGTTTCAGTTGATCCATTTTAGAATGAAATAAATAAAGAATAAATGAAGAAACTAAAGGTATTTAAATAAACATAAGAAGTTAAATGTTCAATAAAACATATCCAAAAGTAGATGATATAATAAGTTACATAACATTTGTGAACAATGTATGAAAATATATAAAAGTATACTAGAATACATACAGTGGCGTTTTAGTATTAATAAGATGTACGTGCTTAATTTCACAGCTTAAAGGGTTAATCAGTCTACACTAGAAAATAAAAACAACAAGCTTAGGAAATAGTGGTAAGAAAATTGATATTATTCTCTAGGTACTTGTCGAAGATTTAGAAATAGATTACATTTTGGATAAACATTGTCTCTAACACACATCCATGAGCCAGATCTGTACAATACATAAATTATTTCCCTCACCCTCCTCTTCACCCACAGGAGATCAAAACAGCCCAGAAGATAGCCAAGAAGTACTCGTCCATCCCTCAGCTGTGGTCCAAGTGCCTGCTCCGTCACTGCTACGGCCTGTGGTTCATCTGCCTGCCAGCGTACGTCAAGGTGTGCCACTCCAAGGTTCGGGCGCTGCGCACGGCCTACGACGTCCTCGGGAAGATGCAGGCTAAGAAACTGCAGCCACCTGATGAGGTGCCACCAGATTTGTACTATTTCTGACAGTTATAAGTTCTTTGCACTCATTTTAAATCAACACTTTTGTTGAGGGTCTATTTGTTGAGGTTTATTTCTCCCTGTCTAAACAATCTTTCAGGTCTGTTACCGGGTGCTGATGCAGCTGTGTGGACAGTACGGCCAACCTGTCCTGGCAGTCAGGGTCCTCTTTGAGATGAAGAAGGCCGGAGTCCACCCCAACGCAATCACCTATGGCTACTACAACAAGGTACAGAATATGCTTCTATTGATCATTATAAAGCCTAAATTAAAATCGGTGTTATGTTAAAGGGCCCTTTTATGCTGTTGTGGGTTTTCCCTTACCTGTAGTTTGTTATATAGGTTTTTGTGCATGTAAATGGTCTAGAAAGGCTGAAATCTCAAAGTTCACTCCAGATGTAGTCTCCCTGCCCCCCGCCTGAAACGCCTCCATTGGACTCCTTTATTTACTTCTGTAATATAGTGATATCACCATGTAACACTTGCACTTCTATTGGCTATTGCTCCAACAAATTGTACGTGATAGGTTAAGGGGCGGGACATCTCTATGCGATTGACCAATCACAAACGATCTGGCCAGCTAATCAGAGCAGACTGGGCTCTGGTTTCAGACAGAGGGTGAAAAGAGGTTCTGCAGCTCAGGCATTGAGAAAAGTAAAGCTCTTTTTAAACATTAAAGCATGCAAACATGTCACAGGCACAAATATGAACCTGACATTTTGCATAAAAGGGCCCCTTGAATATGGCAGTTAAGTTCGATATTGCATTTTTACAAAAGAGTGTCCTTGGATATAAAAGTGGATATAGAGAGCACATGACTCATACCGACCCAGTGCAGGGTCTCACAGGCGCTGATATAAACATATTGGTTCTGGGAGTCCCACATGCTATTCTGTTGGCCTGGGTGTGGTGTTCCTGATGTGGGTGTGTTCATAATATTCTGCTGATTCGGCTGCAAGTTTGACAAATTTGTGAACACACCCATGACAGCCAAATCTCTAGGAAGACTGTTTAGGTGTCTACTGCCTTTACCATCCGTTGTGATGGATGACAATACAGACTTGGTAAGAGCAATACAATTCAATAAATGTCAGGAGAATTGGCTTCTGTACAAATCGTGTTATAGTGACAGGCTGCCACATCAGAAAAAAGCTCATTGTAGGCATTATATTATATTGTGATTCAGAAAGAAATGTCAAAATGTGATAAAGTCGATAATAAAATGCAGAGACATACAGTAGGAGTTCTTCAAATAAAATGACCTCTTAAGACACTCATCAAATTCAGTTTCTCCAAAAATATGTTGATTATTCATTTATGATTCATATATATATATATATACCCAGTGGCGTTTTTATATGTACAAAAGTGGTGGGGCACAAAAAACTTAGATGTCTATATATAAGCTTCTGCAGTGACATGCAGTGAGGTTCATGGCTGGTGAGGCACTGGCACTGACTCTTCAGGTTTACAAATATTATATTTTGACCTAAACCAAAATATAATATTATTTTCAAAAGCTTTTTTTGTCTGATGCTTCGATTAATTTTAAACAGACACTTCAACAAAAGGATACCCAAAAAATGTAATTTTATCATTTAAATATTGAATTGTTCTCTCTTAGTAAGATCCCATTTTCAATAAAATTGCGGTCTTACCTTGACTTGAAGATGAAGGCCATTTGCCTATCCTTCTGGACAAACATTTCTATTACTTTTTTGTAAAAGTCCTCCTTATGTTCTTGTAGTTTCAAAAGTCTATCATAAATCTAATCCATAGATTTATGATAAAAAAATTATAAAAGTAGGGTAGACATGTGGATATTATCCGGCTGAACAAAACGTGCATTTATCTAACAGGTACGTTTCCCACAGATCTTATTTCGAGCTATTTTCTAAAATCCTCTGGAGAAATCTCATTGCTTTTTTGCAGCTTACTTCCTGGTTTTAGGACGCGCCACTGCAGCTCTCTCGTCTCCTCTTCACACAGCACACTTTTCGCGGCACACGTACTTACAGCCAATCAGCTCTGAATGATTTGAGATGACGTATGGTGGGGATGGTAGCTCCATGCCCCTCTGGTCATTATTTTTTTGCCACACACATTTCATTACAAAATACTCTGAGCATGCGCAGTGAAGTTTTTACAGTCACCGTTGACTTCACAGCGAGAGGGAGGGGCATAATCAGGTTTTGTCCCACATGGCTCTAAACAGCTCAATAGGCACACACTGTGACTGTAGACACACTAATTAGAAGAACACAGACTAAAACAGCAATGTACAGACGAATCAGATGATTAAACATGATCTTAAAATATATTTTATATATTTTTTTATTTATTTTTTTGCATTTTTGTAATCATTATTTGTAATACTTTCTGCTGACACTAGGTGGGGCTGTGCCCCACCTGCCCCTAATGACCAGTCGCCACTGTATATACCCCCCATAACATCTCCATATTATTACACTTCGTAGCTTAGTTACATTACATTACATTACATTGCATTTAGCTGACGCTTTTATCCAAAGCGACTTACAATAAGTGCATTCGACCAAGAAGATACAAACTTGAAGAAAACAGAATCATATAAGTACATCAGGTTTCATAGAGCCAAAACATTTCAAGTGCTACTCAACTGGCTTTAGATAAGCCAGTCCTTTATTAGTATATAAGTGCTTTGTTAGTAATTCTATCGCTCGAAGTGGAGTCGAAAGAGATGAGTTTTCAGTCTGCGCCGGAAGATGTGTAAGCTTTCTGCTGTCCTGATGTCAATGGGAAGCTCATTCCACCATTTTGGAGCCAGGATAGCAAACCGACGTGTTTTTGCTGATGAGAACTTGGGTCCCCCTCGCAGTGCGGGTGCAGCGAGCCGTTTGGCTGATGCAGAGCGGAGTGCACGTGATGGGGTGTATGGTTTAACCATGTCCTGGATGTAGGAAGGGCCAGATCCATTCACAGCATGGTACGCAAGTACCATTGTCTTGAAGTGGATTCTAGCAGTTACTGGAAGCCAGTGAAGGGAGCGGAGGAGCGGTGTGGTGTGGGAACATTTAGGAAGGTTGAAGTCCAGACGAGCTGCTGCATTCTGGATGAGCTGCAGAGGTCGGATGGCACATGCAGGTAGACCAGCCAGGAGGGAGTTGCAGTAGTCTAGGCGTGAGATGACGAGAGCCTGGACCAGAAGTTGCGTCGCTTTCTGGGTCAGGAGGGGACGTATCCTCCTGATGTTGTAAAGAGTGTATCTGCAGCAGCGGGTTGTAGCAGCGATGTTTGAAGTGAAGGACAGTTTGTTATCTAGGGTCACACCCAGATTCCTTGCAGTCTGAGTCGGGGAAACAACAGAGGGGCCGATGTTGATTGTTAGGTCAAGAGTGGGACAATCTTTTCCCGGAAGAAAAAGCAGCTCAGTCTTGTCAAGGTTGAGCTTGAGGTGGTGAGACATCCACAGAGAGATGTCAGCTAGACAAGCAGAGATGTGTGCGACGACCTCGGTCTCTGAGCGGGGAAAAGACAGAATTAATTGGGTGTCGTCAGTGTAGCAGTGGTATGAAAAACCATAAGGGCTAATGACCGATCCGAGCGAGTTTGTGTACAGAGAGAAGAGGAGGGGACCAAGGACAGAGCCCTGAGGGACCCCTGTAGTTAATTGACAAGGGTCGGACTCTGACCCTCTCCAAGTTACCCTGTAGGTGCGGTCTTTGAGGTATGAGGTGAGGAGGGAAAGTGCAGAGCCTGAAACTCCAAGTTCTTGGAGAGTGTGAAGGAGGATCTGATGATTCACCGTGTCGAATGCAGCAGACAGGTCCAAAAGGATGATGACAGAGGAGAGGGAGGCTGCTTTAGCCGTGTGCAGTTCCTCAGAGACAGCGAGGAGAGCAGTTTCTGTTGAGTGACCTGCCTTGAAACCAGACTGGTGCGGATCAAGAAGGTTGTTCTGATGGAGATAACAGGAGAGTTGTTTAAAGACAGCGCGTTCAAGTGTTTTAGACAGGAATGGGAGGAGAGAGACAGGCCTGTAGTTTATAACATCGGACGGGTTGAGAGTGGGTTTCTTTAGGAGAGGGTTTACTCTTGCCTCCTTGAGACTGTTTGGAAAGTGACCAGAAGTTAGAGAAGTGTTGATGAAATGGGAGAGAAACGGTAGAATATCAGGAGCGATAGTCTGAAGGAGGTTTGAGGGGATAGGGTCCCTCTTGTTGGTTCTTCATCACAGTTACGTCTATGCAGACTCTCAGCTTGCAGATATATAAAACACACATCTGCAGTCGCCCCCCCCTCAAGGTTGCACCCACCCGTGTGCGATCATCTACACGTGTCAGAATGGGACTTAGAATAATTTCTAAAATAAAACTGAGATAATTTTTTTCATAAGAAATTATCAGTAGCTACAGAAAATTAAATCCCACCTGCAATTATTCATAATTAAACAAAGTAGAGCTTCATAGCCATGTATTTTTTATTTACAATCACAGAAAAACCTTCATTTAGTGTGTTACAAGACTGGTCATACCTAATCATTATCAAAATGGGGTATTCTTGCTCAGCCAATATACTGATTTTAGGACAGGTTAACTGTGCAGATTAACAAAAACGGGATTTTGTTACTTTAACAAAGAGCCAGGCTAGCCGTTTCCACCTGTTTTCATGCAAAGCTAACTTCTCCCTGGCTTTAGCTTCATATGTAATAGTACGAGTGGTATCAACCTTTCTATTTAATCCCAGCAAGAAATGTAATCAGTGCATTTTCCATTGACAAATAAACAGAATAAGAAAGCACTCACAGTACAATACAGTCCTCTCCTAAATAAATAGTGTGGTCTTTGACCAGATGCCTGTGCTTTAGTTGTAAGCTCTGCAGGGGTACTGCCACTTTTATTTGGCCCAAATCCTGAGAGGCTTCACAGAGGAGCAGCCAGCGTAATAAAAGCAGTTCTGCTCAATGGCATACCAGTGGTGTTTTTTTCTCAGGGGGCTTCTGAAGTGTATTTTAGGAGCAAACAGAGACTGTCGAACGTGACTCGGCCACCAACAGCTGCAGTTCTTTTTCTGAAGTTGAGAGAGAGTGTGCTGAAGTTCAGGCCTTTGATGTAGATATTATTCAAGATATGTATATCAAACAGGGATCAGGTCCGTTTTAGTGCAATGTTGGGTTGAAATTGAATGAGTGAGCTCTTATCTTTACACAAAAATAATTTATTGAGAATATAAGAACATTTCATGGTGGAAGGTATTCGCAAAAAGAACCATCCATAAATGTATTATTTAATTAAAAATGATTTGATTCCGTTGATGCTACAAGTAAATGCAATCAGAGGCATTTAAAATAAATCTGTCAATAAAAGCGATCCTTTATTCTTTTAAATTTGATCTCCTCCCCCCTTTTAAATGTTCTCCCTTCTCCTCCACCTCCACCTCTGTGTCTCTGTTGTCCTGGGTCCAGGCGGTGTTGGAGAGCACGTGGCCCTCCAGCACCAGAGGAGGGTACTTCCTGTGGATGAAGCTGAGAAATGTAGTTCTGGGAGTGGCCCAGTTCAAACAGGCCCTACGACGACAGGCTGCCCACACACAGAGTCCTCTGTCAGGTACAGTAACAGCCAACCATAACACTCGCCCATCTGTGAAAACAAACAATGTTGTTGTCTCACTAAACCGTTTCTGCACCGACATGCAATGATCCTGCAAGCTTGACCTATATCCGAAAGATCTTACACTTTCATTTAATGCTCACAGTTTATGTTAATTTGGTCCAGACGGATTCAAAGAGAATCTTAATACTTCGTTTTGACTTCAACAATACACTGCAAACCGTTATAAAAAGAATGTGATTGCACAATCAACGGACCAAATGTGTTTATCATTCAAAATGTTAAGAATTTACTTAATTGAGTTAATATATTTGTTTTGTTTGAATTCATTAGGCTATCTACATGTCAACACTTGTATAAACCCATCTTACTGCATGTTAGCTAAAGTCTTAATGGGGCGCACACCAGATAAGTTCTTAACAAAACAAGCTGAATATTTCATTTCAGATTGTCCTAATCATGAGTTTATTATATTTTTCTCAACAAGCGCTAAGAACCAATAATAATAATTATATGCAACCATCTGTAATTTTACCCATAATGCCTTACGATTCGTGCTTCTTTTCTAGTTCAGAAAGTTTGATACCCAGGACAGTCAACTGCAATGGCCAATCAAAAATGATTACATAACAAATAATATTGCAAGGTAGTATTGGCTTGATTGAATTATTGAAAATATCCGGGGGAAAAAAATAAATATCACTTGGACTCGTTATCAGTAGCAATTACTGATTCAGTATAATATATATAGATTATGATCAAGTAATTACAGAACAATTTGGTTATAACATTATAAACAATACAGATTTCTACTACAAATGCATTTTCAAATACATCTCAACCATGTTAACGAACTACCCAGCATTCCTAAGAAAATAATACCTGACAAGCAGAGTTGTACAGATACAAACACAACCAGCTCAACACGTGTGATTTAACTCCCCTGCATGTCAGCGAACACCTGCACAGCCGGTGCATGCTAATCCCAGTCCCTGCTAATCCCTGCTTTTTAAAGATACTACCTGTATCCACGAGTAAGCATTGTGTTCCTCAGATGAGTTCAGTGCTGACTCAAAGAGACAAATTCTCCTGGGTAACACACACATTCACACACAACCAGGAGACACAAGCCAGCATATCACTCCACTCCTGCCAACCTTAGCTGTATAATTACAGTGAATGTCACCCACAGATCATACATTAAACTCTCCTTCAGTGACAATAAAGGTGAAAACAACGTTTCCATTAATCGCACAGGAAATATCCTGAAAATAATAGTGTCATTTGGTATTTATCATAGAAAGAGAACCTGCTGCAGTTGTTGAATACAATCTGTTAAATTGTAAACAGGATCTCCTTTAAAAGACTGCTATCATCTGGACCCTAAAAAACAAAACATTTTAAATTCAGTAAATATTCATTTATTATTTGAAAATGTATTTTCTGTATTTTTAAAATGATGTACACACATTCTTGTAGAGACGTGTTAAGGTACATATTTATCTCATCCGTTGTGCAGTGATTAAAATACTCTTTACTTTGCAGTCTGAGTTCATTGTAATTGCAGTGTAACATTGAATCAGCCTTTGGTTTCCCTATAATTAGAACCAATTTAAATCTAAATGTTCCAACTTATCTACAGTTGCAAAGAGGTTCCCGTCCAGAACATTTTAAGAAACCATTTGGACCTGAAATTAAAGAGAGAATTAAAGAGTTTTGTCACATTTTTTAAGTTTAAATGTCAAAAGAACCCACCAAAATACAGTTTCTTCAAGACATTAGACAAAGGCTAATCTGGTGTCCGAGTCTCTGTCTTCTAAACATTTAAAAGTAGTAGAGTTGTGGAGCAGTAATGGCGCCCGGCTTCCTGTAACGCCTTGTTGTCTTTGGGCAGATGGCAGCGACCTGGACGCTGTGAGTCACGGCAGCCTGGATAGCTCTGCCGACACTAACCTGGGCCCCTTCGCCTCTGACTCCGCCAAAGTAGACCCCATTGATGATAAATCTAGCACAGGTACACTCAACACGCCGGCTGCGCCACTCAATCTCAGGCAGCCATCTTGTTCTACATCTTGTTCTTCTCTCTCAATGACATTTTTTTTTTTTAATCCTTCATTTGTCCCACTCACCGACCGGTCTCTTCCTCATTGACCCTCTTCCTCCTAAACCTCCTTCCCCTCTGCTGCCTGTTTTTCTTCCACCTTCTGTACATCCATGTTTCTCCCCGGCTGTGCTCTGTACCCTAACCCCGCCCTTCACTCTGGCCCTGCCTGTGTTGCCCTTGCATGCAGTCGGCCGGGGGGGCGGCAGCGTGGGCGCCAGGGCCCCGGTGGCGCACTCACACTGGGGGGGCTCTGAGCTCAGAGAAGCCACCCACCACCCAGGTAATCCGCTCTGTCAGTCTGCATGTCTCTCTCTCTGGTTTCTCTGCCTCATCTCACCTGACCTGTTTTATTTTTCATCGTCACACTTTTCTCTGCCGTCTCTGCGACCTCGCCTCCTCTTCCTGTCATGTCTCTCCGGCACTCTGCTACTCATCTCTCTTTCTCTCTCACTCCTCCTTTCACCACAGAGTGATGTGTCATTGCCAATTATGGCGAGTAATTACCCAGAGGCACATTCTTTTTGATTACGGTAATAGTTTTAATCATGGAGCTGGCACCTCAGCAGGAGACTTCTCCTCGTGTGCAGAAGTCTGAACCGCAGCTCATCAGGAGGGAAGCACCGTGATCATGGTCGATCGGCACTGCCGAGCTGTGCAGCCTCATGCTTTATTTAGAGTTGAAGGTTCATATGAAAGAGGAGAACAAAATCATCAGACAGCTGGTTGCCTGGAGACCCCAGGTTTTAGAAGCAGATGGGAGAGTCAGCCTGGAGAGCAGCACGTTTTTTCTTCGCCCCTCCCCCCTCCCTAACGTCAAGTCTTAACAGTTAAATCCATTTGCAGCTGTGAAACTGCAGTCACTTTCCCGACAGTAACTGCAGATCTCTGCATGCCCTGAGGAGGATTATCTTTATTCAGCACAGCTTAGCTGCTTTTCTCCTCTCCTCTCACCTCCGCAAAGTGATGAGCCTCCCACAAATGAGGAGATGAAAGGGAAGAAATGCCTCTCTAGGTTTCCCACTTATGTATGATTCATTCACTTCGCATACAAACACTGTAAAGCCACAATAGGTTCACTTCTTGACACCAAAAAGCACTGGATTTCAGTAGATACTGTGAAATGAAAGGCCCTCAAGCCAATAATGAGAGTGGTGTCACGTACAGTGTTGTTAAAGTGCCGCTATTTCCAGAGAGTCACTTTTTCCTCTGCTTAGATTTTCCATTTTGCATATTTCTGTGATCTTGTGGGTTAATATCACAGATCACATATTTAGTGCCTTTGTATATCCCTCTCATCTGATTTCATACGTGTCTTTCTCTCTGTTCTCTAGGGGATCAATCGGATCTGGGTTATAACTCACTGTCCAAGGAGGAGGTCCGGAGAGGAGACCCCGGCGCTCCGGACTCCAAAGATGACAAGAAGGAGAGCGACTGCAGCTCCTGTCAGTAGTCTGTCTGATCTGATACCACCTGATATTTCTGTCTACTGTAACTTCTAAAAAAATCATCTCACACAAGAGATCTCCCCTTCCTCTGCCTTGATCTTTCTCCCTCAGAGATGATTCTTTTCTTGTGTGGTTCTCAACATCAAAGCATTTCAGTCGTGTGTTTCCCTTCCATGGAATTGTTTCTTTCTTTTAAAGAACAGTGGTGTGATTCAAGCTGTGCTTTACTGTAAAAAAAAAAAGACTGATTTATAAATTGTAATTTCTGTGTTGGCAGTGTCAGAGACAGAGAGCGCCAAGGGGAGCAAAGACTGCCTCCCTCAGCTGGACATGGAGCTTCACTCGTCCTTCAAACCCCGCGGCATTGTGCGCAGCAGCTATCCGTATGACGAAGCCTCCTGTAAGCCCAAGAGCTCCGTCAGCGCGGGTAAATAAGGAAACTTCAAAATATTTAATAGTGTTGGAAAATGAGTTGGTGTTAATACTGTAAATTCCCACCCAAATGTCATCTTTATTGGAAGTCTTCTCAATAACTTAATGATACTGTTGGTGTTTGTTATTGCAACCCGTTTAGATTAATTCAATACCCATAAGGCTCAGCTCATGTGGACACAGGAAAGAATCAGATCTTTAGTATCATAAGAACACTTTGTGAAAGATATCACTTTGACTGTGATTCACTGTATGTATCCTATCTTTACATTCGGCCTGTCGTTAGCAGCCCATGCCAACAGAATTTGAGGCTCAGTATTTACTGTCTTATTAATAAAATGTTTCTTGACAGTAGTTCATCTATGTACCCAAGCTTGTGCCCTTTTCACTTTTATATTAAAGAACATGATATTGTCAATCAGGAGAATTTAATGTCCGTCAAAGCTTTGAAGTGCTCCAGAAGTCAGTCACCTAGCATTGTCTGGACCAAAAAAATGCTCCTTATTATTATTACTTGATCTCCTCAGGTTTGTTCCTAATACTTACTAATGTCCCTTCTTCCCCTCCCTCTCTCAGGCCATGTTGCAGGCCTCCTCTTTTCCTCCTCCCTGGACGACATCGGTGAGGTCAACGGCAACAGATTGCTCAGGAAACACAGGAGTGCTCTGGAGGAGGTGGTGGGCAGCAGCGGCTCGGCTCTCGACTGGCAGGGGGGGAGGGGCCGCCAGCTGAGCGGGGACAAGGTGGGCAGCAGCGGCAGCGGCACCACTGTCCTGGGCCTGGGGATGAGCCAGGGGGAAACAGACCCAGATAAGATCGCGGGACACATGGGCGCAGACGTCAAAATTCTCTCTGGTGCCAAATTCAGTCAGAGTAAGAGACCTCGTTCGCTGGCTCTGGGCGGGATAGAGGGGGCGGCTGCCTCCAGAAGTCTTGATCACAGGGAGGAAGAGGAAGAGGCGGAGGGACAGGACTCCAGTGATGAGGACAGAGGTAACACAGAGGCCATTTTTGATTTGGAGGATCTGGATTTAGACAAGCCCGCCACAGGGGCTGGCATCAGCTCACACAAATGTAACAAGAAACCTGTCGGACGCAGTGTGAGCTACGGTGGCGTGAGCTCCATGACGACCAGAGGAACTGTGAAGCGCACAGACATACAGACAGGCTACGACCCTCTGTCCATCCTGGTGGCAGAGACACAGTCCGAGGAGCAGAGTGAGGACCGGTACCCAGAGGGGGACGAGGACAGCACTCCCAGCGCCCGAAGGCACCTGGCCAGAGAGATCGAGCTCTACATGAACCACATGGGCAGCCCGCTGAGCAGCAGGACCCCCAGCATGGACCTGCAGGACTCCGCCAGCCCCCTCCTCCTCCACCCCTCCTCCCTCTCGGCCCCCCGCAGAGCCAGCCTGCCCCACAGCTCCCCCCTCAGGGCTGCTGGGATGCCGCGCTCCCGCACCTTCCACCCGCCCTCGCCCTCCCAGTCCGTCTCACGCCAGCGCCTGCTCTCGTCCCCCTCCTGCCACAGCTCCAGCACCACCCCCAGTGCCAGCCCCCGCCCCAGCCCCTGCAGGGAAAGGACGGACAGGATGAGCCTGGCGTCGCCTTCCCCCTCCTCTTCCTCTTTCGCTCTGGACACTCTGATCACACCAACGCTCGATGTATTCAAGACCAGCATGTTCTCCGCTGGGAAGGGCGTGGCAGAGAAGGCCAGCCGCTGGTACTCCCGCCTCTCCACATACACAACGCCTACCAAGGTATGTGTGTTGGGAAGGGGAATTTAGTGTTGAATTGTAATGCAGCTGAAAGAGAACGTTTACCCAATTCATGCAGCTTTTAGTCTCTGCAAAATAACTTAATTTCACACAAAATATATATTTAAATATGGCTCCCTGAATCAAGAAAAGCCCATGCTCATCCTGTCTTATTGATATCTTCTGTTCTAAAGAGCAAAGAGGGCTCCAAGTAGGTCCAATATAAATAGTGACCCAATTTAAAACCCTGTTTGTACATTTTCATTAAAAAAATAACGCTACCTATTAGTGTTTGGTGAAGGAAAATATGATTTGAACTATCACCTACATAAAAACTTCTGGGATAAATTGTTTAAATTCTCTATGTTTCTGTGTCAGTCAGTATTACTGTAAGCTCTCTACGCAGTAAGATGAGCCTAAAGGTGGAATGCTGCTGCCATCTAGTGGCATTTTGAATGTCAGTGAAATAGTCTTACTGTTATAAAAGCCTTCATTGACCAACTAAATAAGTCAAGACTTCTACTTGACTTACTACACGGCACGCTACTACAGGCTACTGCCACACAGATAGCGTACATTTCACATACATCTGCACCTCGTGTTATCATTGTAAGATCAGACCTCTGTGCCGTCCCTGAAGACACTAACCCGCCTCCTCTGTTTCTTCAGGACGGTCACAGTGACCGCCTGAGTATTTCCTCCCTTGGCTTTGGAGATCCAGACTGCGCCTCGCTGCTGGATGACGAGGACTGTGATGGCTCCTTGATCTCTCCACAGAGGAACGGCCCCTCAGGGCCCCGCAGGAGCCCCCGACGCAGCCCCCTGCGCAGCACACAGCACAGCCCCTCTGCCGGCCACAGCCTGGGCAGACCCACATCTCTGTTCCCTGGTAAGAGAACATTCTTCTCACTCACTGAAAAGAGCTGAAGGGATATTATATTACTAACTTTCCATTTAAGTGTCTAATATAATCAAACTCCCAGTTTGGTTATAGCTCGATTGACCAAGGCTCAGGATAGCTACATTTGCCTCATGCTTAATGACAAGAAATTAGACACAGAGACGGAAAATGTCAAGCAGTCTATTAAAACATGTTCTAAAAAGGAAAAAGGCATAAATATGTCGTACTTTCCCCAAATAAATATACAGTAGACCCGTTTCCAAAAGGCAGGATGAAGGTATGAAGGTCATGTTGTTACAAAAGCCTTTGTCTTAAACATCTCAAGAAATCTATGCGGACATTTTCACTCAAAGTATTGTCAGATATCTTGATCTCTCTTAACCTCCTGCAGGATGTGTGCTCTCCCCCCCCGGCTTCCCTCTGCCAGACAGGTCGGACCTCGGCTCTTCACGCTACACCAGCAGCACCAGCATCTTCAACAACTACGCCATGGAGGTAAAACCATAAAGCTGTAGAGTAGAAACTAAACTAATGCTTAGAAGACGCTAATAGAAAGTGTGTCTGCTGCTGCAACAGATATGAATGTATAAGATGTGCGAGGTTATTTGGCTACAAGAGTTCAAACTCTGCAAACGGGTGGTACAATATTATCATGTGCTATTGTCATGCAGGAAATAAATAGTTATCCAGTCTGTCACATCAAATATTTCAGATTAAGTAAAAACATGTGTAACAGCTTTCAAAAGTGCTTTACAGACCATAACAGTGAAGTAGTTTAAATAGATGTTATTTAAAACCTTGATGACTTTTAGTCTGTAAGCTCACCCGCCGCTCTGTGTGTTTCCAGCTGCTGATCTCCAGCTGTTCCCGCTGTAAGACGTGCGACTGCCTGGTGTACGATGAGGAGATCATGGCCGGCTGGACTGCGGACGACTCCAACCTGAACACCACCTGCCCCTTCTGTGGAAACCCCTTCCTGCCCTTCCTCAACGTGGAGCTCAGGGACATGCGAGGCCCCGGCAGGTAGGGGATGAACTGCTGTAAAAATGTAGTGGTGGGAAGAATGGGGTGATGAATCCCTATTTTAAGGATTGATTACGTTTTATTTTTAAATATGCATGGATCTCCTGAAAACCTGGTTTTAAAAGGGAACATATCATGACAAACTCACTTTCTCAGTACATTTGGCTATCTGGGGATCTTAATAAAAACACAAACTGTGAATTAGGTCAAAATGACTCTGGCGCACAGAAGATAAACTACACCTGACTTTATTTCCTGGATGTAATTTCCCCCCTGTGTTTCCTCTCAACTCCGAAAGGCTTTTTCTGAAGGGCAGCCCGTCGGTGGACGAGGAGATGACCTCGTCGTACTCCACCTCCACGGGTTTGGACACGGGGACGTCCACCTTGTCCACCCCGTGTCCTAAAACAGCTGCCTTTCCTCCCTCCCCTGGGATCGCTGTCCAGGAGTGCGCCGGGAGTGGAAGGTACTCACCACATCCTCATTGATTAACATGCGTATCCTAAAAATGATTCTTCTGTCTGGTTTGCTGTATTATTGATGAACTTGTAGCCTTATCAGGTTTGATAGGAAAGCAGCAGGGAGGATTGAAATCACGTGCACAGAATTACCTCAGAATTTGAACATTTTAAATCCAGGTTAGTCTGATAACTCAATGCTTTTTAAGTAAGAACCCAGTGTAGCTGCGTCCACACGCTCCCCATCTGCATTGTAAAAGAGCAATGTGAAATGATCTGCAGCACCTGGTGCTAACAAAGCTGCGTGTATGTGTGTGGGAGGGGGGGGATGACCGAGGGTCCATGTGCTTGTATAAAGTCCCTCATGAGGTTATGAAATGGGTAAGCAACAAGAATGAACTGTGCATGCATGATATCTTAATGCCGACTTATTAGTGAACAAAACATTGTGTGTTTACTGTATTTTCGTTTTCGATTTGACTGAATATTATTCATGTAATATAGACATCTGGATTCTGTGTCTGTGTGATGTTTCTTAAGAACAAACTTGCAGCTATATTAGTTATCATTTTGACTGTGAGATGTGTGTTACAAACTTCACAGGACTCGATCGACCAACGCTGAAGGTATCAACATCCCGTCTGACCAGCGGCAGGAGGGTCCGTCCCCCGGGGGGCACATGGCCCGCAGCATCAGCACCTTCTGTCCCCAGGACGAAGCGCCAACAATTGACCACCGTTTGCCGACGTCAGGCAGCCTGCCCAGCCGTCTGAATGAAGCCACAGTATGTCACAATACTGAACACCTACAAAACACTTCACCGTACATATTTGACATATGACAGTTAGAAATCTGACCTATGATTCCTGTCCCACTCAGGACCCGCTGAATATGGAGTGGCGGCTCCACAACCCTGAGCCGGTGACGGTGCCCTACCTGAGCCCGCTGGTGCTGTGGAAGGAGCTGGAGAGCCTGCTGGAGAACGAGGGCGACTCGGTGATCACCGAGGCCGACATGGTGGACCAGCATCCCATCATCTACTGGAACCTGGTCTGGTACTTCAGGCGCCTGGACCTGCCCAGCAACCTGCCCGGACTCATGCTCACCTCGGAGCACTGCAACAGAGGCTCCCAGGTACACGCACACACACACACACACACACACACACACACACACTCACTCTCACTCTCACACTCACACTCACACTCACACTCACTCTCACACTCTCACACACTCTACATAATGTGGGATAATGTGCTGTGTAGTGAAAATTAGGTGGAAAGTTTGACGTTTATGCTTAACATAGTGCACTTCCTACATCGTTCCACCTGAGGTCAGCAAAAACAAGTTATTAGTTAACAATTATCAGCTACAGTTTATTTTTCTCTTTAAAATCCTTAATTCATTCTTCTCTCACTTTGTTTATGAAAGGCTAGTCACACCAGTAATGTGTAAAGTGTCAATGCTTTCTTTTTTCAGATTTCATTTCAAAAGAAAAGGTATTTGTAAAAGGTTTAATACATGTTTTGTTCATGTGTGGAGCCCAATAAAGCCAACTAATAACCACCATTAACAGTATTCAACTAAGATGTAAAAAAAGGCCAAATGCTGTTGCGGTAATGGTAATATAAAACACTCTGGAAATACAGTCTGTTAGTGAAGATGTTTTGAACCTTTTTATTACCTGGATTCTTTTAATGATAATTGATACATTTGGATTATTAAGTATTGGATCATTGTGTTTATTTATTTTCTTAAGATAAACTAAGAAAGAATAATCGCTCTATTTTTGTTTTGATTTGATATTGATTCTCAGTAGGTTACATGGTATAGCGGATGTTAAATTGAGTTCATCGGGAAAAAACATCTGAAAAGGATGTTTTGTGTGTTAATGATGTGACCGTCAGAGTGACTCGCAGTGCGTCTGTCTCGGTCTCTCGTCAGGTTCCTCGTCACTGGATGTCGGAGGACAGTAAACACGTGTTGATCCAGATCCTGTGGGACAACCTGAAGCTGCACCAGGACTCCATCCAGCCTCTCTACATCCTCTGGAACACATTCAGTGAGTCACTCTGCTCTGCTCTGTGTGTCAGACTCAGCAGACAGCCAGATCATTTACTTACTGTGTAAAGTGGACAGATAATCGGAAACAATTCAATAGTGAACTGGGGTATTTTTTCATTTCTGTTGAGGATCTCAGTCAGCTAGAGCTTGTTTTGCTACGTTTTGTTAGTTTGTCCCGAAATTCACATTGCAATGTAATCCTACATAATTGTTATTGTGTTAACAATCGGCCAATAATAATGAGTTCTTATGTCACATGTGTGCCTTCAACGTTATGATTTAAATGTGAGTTGTTTTGGAGGTGGAGTTGACGTGCTAAGACATTTCCAATAATTCAACGCCGTGGTTTAACTGGGATGCATTAGTTGAGATCGCTGATTGGTATGTTTAAATCTTCCTGTGATCAAAGCATGTTTAAAGCATGTCAAAGTCAAATCTGTGCAAAAAAAAAGTTTTCACTCTTGTGGTGGAAAAGTTTGTATGTTGAAAATGTGAACCAGGTCAAATGGAAATGATGGAAACTAAAAACATTATATGCATTGACGTTTAATGATGGGAATAAAAATGGCGACAGGTGAGAACATCAGAACAGTGTGAACAATGACTCGAAGGTCACAGCTGTTTATGGCAATGTGCCCGACTCCATATAATGCGTATATACCCATGTACAGTATGTCCATATAGTGGATGGACATGTGCATTATTAAGCATTTTTCTTTGACCATTTTTTCTGTTTCTTTCTACAAAATGTTGAGCTTTTAAACTACTAGTCACAACTACTAGCACTTTGGCTCGACCAGAAATCGCTTTTAAATGTGCTTTATAAATAAAACTTGATTTGATTTGACAATAGATATTTGAGAAAGACAACGGCACTTGCACCTATAGGTTTGCTCATTAAAGATTCTATAATTAACTTAATAATTAAACTCTCAAACAAGTTTAGGAAGGGAAAAAAAGCATAACTGATCCACAGGTTTTTATGTTTTGCTTCCCTGAATTGGTAGCACTGCAAAATTGAGGCCAAACATAAATAATGACTAGAGCTCTTCCAACTGTGTCATCTTGTTGTTGCGACTCTTTGCGAACACGTCTACACTGATTGATTATTGAATGGAGGAGGCGTGGAGCAGCTAGCTCCTTCTGGGAGTCGGCTGATCCGTGTGCTAACAGGCTCTGTCTGCTCTCTGTCTTCCAGGGCTTAATTGTACTCTGTTGTTAGAGAGTGAGTGTTCGTCTCCTGTTGTGTGTGTGTGTGTGTGTGTGTGTGTGTGTGTACTGTGTGAGGCCTGCTGCTGTGTCCCTGTGCTGTGCACTCTGCTTGATGCATCGCAGTGTCGTCTGTGAAAAGTCATGGTTCCCCCGTGAACGTCTCTGTGCGGTGTGCAGTCAGTGTTATTTTAGGGATTTTGCTTTTGTTTTGTGAAACTGTTTGTTTCAAATACAGCCCTGCTCTGTATTTGAATGTAGGTTTGCATCACTGGTGAATTTGTTTCTTCACTCCCTGACATTTAGATGTTTGAATCAGCAACTGCTTAAGATGGAGATGTTGTAGTACTTACAGGGCTGGGTACTGACCTCATGGTGCTGGCTCTCCTGAGAACCTCCAGTTTGTGATTTAGTGGTTCATCGTCTTTCTGTCACCACGACTCGGTTGCCTAAACTCATAAATCCATAACTGAATTAGTGAGTAATCTTCTAACAGCTAGGATTCTAATCAGGTTGCACCAATTAACCTCAGAAATGCTTTAGCTAAGAAAAACACATGTCATTTGTTGATCCGCATCAAAAACATCAACTAATATATGTCAACAGGAAGTGGCTGTAGCATCACACGCCTTTCATTTATCATATGGTTTGGTCCCCTAAATCAAATGCATCATTATGCTAACAAAAACACATTATTTAGAAATTTTGTTTAATTTTTACACTTTGCAATTTGTATTTCCAGTAAGTATTTTTTGTCAACAATTTGCCAATATTAAATTAAAAGAATTCTGACTTGTATTTGTCTTAATTTAGATGATTTACTTTACCGTTTGCCAAAGAACAGTAAAAGTAATAAGAATGTCTCCATACAAGTCATGGTTTTATAAACATACCTCATACATCTATCTATTATAACTTGTTTTAACAGCAACAACATTGTTTTAAGAATATTGTTACCTTGAATAGATCTCCTGCAGTATTTGCCAAATGAATACTGCTTTATACGGTTACAGATACCCAGCCCAAAGTACTGAGTGAAACTGGAGGTTTATATTGTTTCATGTCTTCATCACTAGTATGAGTCAACGCTGAACTCTGTGTGTGTTTTGGCAGACGTGGGGTACCCTCTGTCCCGGCCGGTCCCGGAGGAGGAGAGGCCGTTCAGCGAGGAGCTGCTGCAGAGCGTGGTGAGGAGCATCCAGAGGAACGACCTGAGCCGGCCCATGGCCCAGCTGCTGCAGCTGCTGGGCACCACGCTGGGGGTCAAACGGCAGAGGTCAGCTCCACATGAGGCCTATTTATTCATTTCACCTCTTAAAAACACCTGTAGCAGCTTTAGGACGAGTCGCTGAGAGGCTGATGTCGGGCCTGCTTGGCTTTGAAGAAGTAATGCTGGAATCAAAAATATATTTAACAATTCTTAATTTACCGAAACATTATCAACTGTCAACAAAAACATGGTCAGAATAATCACAGCTATTTGCAGCCAACACAAATACAGCAACCCTCTCTTCCCACACCTCACACAGGTGAACAGGGGACTACATCTACTTTAGAGTTCCGCCCATTTCCATATGACCATGTGTGATAATATTACAAACACTGACCAATACCAAGATACTAACCATCGCAAATCATATTACATTTACAGCTAAATTAAACCCTTTGAGTTGATTTAGGACTCCTTCAGTATTAATCACAGATGTGTTGGTTATTAATGAAACAAAAACACTTTGAGAAAATACTGATATTGTGATGTCCTTTAACCTTGACCTTTCACCCTCAGGAGTTTGTACAGAGACATCCTCTTCCTCTCCCTGGTGGCTCTGGGAAAAGATAACATCGATATTGGTGAGCCATTATTTATGTTTTAATCATTACACTATGTCTCTTATTCAAACTTCAGAGATACCTCACATACCGTTATTTCACATCAGTGTGACTCATTCAATGTAATGTTTACTGTATAGAATTAAGTTCCAGGATGAAATATGAAATAACATTGCAAGAAATGTATTTAAACCTAGATTAATAGTTGTTGTTTTTCAGCCAGTAAACACAACATAGACATACAGTATTATCATCTTTTAAGTTCATATGACAAACATGTGAGCAAGCAGTTACCTGGACACACATCCAGCGGGTTCACAGCAACATTAGATTTCTTTGTTCAAATGGTTTATGAATACTCCCTCCCATTAAACTCTGCTGTTTCGCTCCTTGTCTTTAGCCATCAGATGTTGCACTATGTTCCCCAGCTAGCCTCTAACAGTGTTAGTTCATGAGTTGGCGCTGAGCAGGAAGTGGATTGTTGGAGCTTTTTTGTTAAAAAAACATCAACTGAAAACGACTTATTATCAAAAAGTTGCCTAAAACCAAAGTAAGGAGCAAAAACACAACAACACAAGCTCCATAGATTTGAGAGGATGTCAACAATGATCACTACATGCAATAGAAATATACAAGAAACATGTATTTTGTATATTGTAATAACGCCGATGTTTCCTCTCCCTTCAGACGCATTTGATCGAGAGTACAAGCTGGCGTACGACCGCCTCCTGCCGAGCGTAGTGAAGCTGACCCACAACTGTGACCGCCCCCCCAGCACCGGGGTCATGGAGTGCCGCAGGACCTTTGGGGAGCCTTACCTGTAAACACACACACACACACACACACACACACACACACACACACACACACACACACACACACACACACACACACACACACACACACACACACCAGGATGAACTCTCCTCACCCCACATCATCGCTTTAAGACGAGCTCAGGAAACCTGTTGGAGACTGTGAATGTTTTTGAAACTCTGCGAGGGATCATAAAGATAGTCAGCGTCACGTTGCCTGAAACTAAAAACAGTTTTACAAACTCTATCTCTTTAACTGAAGGAAAGACCACTCGCCCCGCTCATCAACAAGTTCATGCAGTTTGTTCCCGTGAAAATGACTGTAAATACACAGCAGTAGAGGGTTTTTTAAATGCATTTATATTGTGCAGTCATACAGCATATGAAGACTAATCAGCAATATTTTAACTTGAACTCTATTTATACAAAGTAAGCTTTATTTATTGTAGTGTCTTGTTTTTGTCGGGCCTTGAAAGTGTTATCGTTGTCGTCGGGCGTTTCTTGCCTCGCAGGTTAAAATGTGGCAGAATGGATTTAGTGTTTATAATTGATGATTAGGAGGAAAGTAAAAAATACCGCTGGAAAAATCCGCAAATTCATAGAAAATGAATCGGAGGATTTGGGCCGCTGGAAAAGGGTTAGCAGTGGGCTCTAAAAAGACATCTTGAAAAGCGTAATTCACAAATGTTCAACATAATTCAGAAAAAGGAGGAACCGCTTTATAAACTGACAGATAACCAGCCGTTAGTTGCGGCCCTAATTTAAATGTTTCAAATCCACTTTTTTAAATCTGCCTTTAATGTCGGTCCAGGGTCTGAAGACAAACGTTCGCTTTGCTTCTCAAACCAGTTTCTCTACTTCTCTATGTGTGACTTTGATGCAAAGGTTCATTCCTCAACATATTTAGTTTGTTTACACACCTGTCTTTAACTTTATCAAAGAAAAGTTTTCGTCTAGGTCAGGGGTGTCCAAACTACGGCCCGGGAGCTATTTAGAATGTGCCCGCAGTAAAGTATGATGGAATATGGCCTCTAGTGAGGGGCCCGGCCCTTCGTATATCTTTCTCTATGTGGCCCTCGGTGAAACATGTTTGGACACCGCTGGCTTAGCTATTGAGTTCACTTCACCAGTGGAGCGCTGCTGGACATATCGGTATTACTGCTCATCATGTGTGTACTAAACGTGCCGACTGTTCAGATGAATTCACTGACTCACCTCCTCATACAGAAGCTGCTCTGAACCCAACTGGTGTGTCAGCATATCCTCTATCCTGTGAGGAAACACATTCTGTCAGCCATGTTGGAGGTTTACTGTTCTTTAAGTCGCATAACGTCGGAGTTTCATTTTGTATCATTATTTGAGTCAGTTACTACACCAAAATAATATCTCACACCACTACAACAGAGGACAAGAGCACGTTTTTGCAGAACGTCCCAAAAACTTTATTTGGAAGTTGTTTGTTGGTAAAACCCAGAAGAAGAAGCTTTACCCATAAATATATCATATTTTGAATTTACATGCACTTAACCAGCCTCTGAATGTTCAGCCTGTGACGGTGAATGACTTAAATCTGCTCCTCACTCACTGAGGGCTCACACAGCCTGAGGAGCTCCGAGATGTGTTTGAGTATTGCACCTGAAGGTGGATTCTGTGGTTTCTGAATTTTTCGAGATTTTATGATTGTAATTGATTTGTGTTTTTATATAAAATCAAAAATGGATCCTCATATGCCCAAAGGAAATGCTAATGAGGCAGACAGGACTTAATGTGTGCTGCTACATGTGTACGTGAACCACTTTGACAATGTTTCTAGAACCCACTGTCTCAAACATGATGCTGTCACTCTGTAGTTAATCCTCCATTCGAATGCATCACAAATGCAGAAATGTCAAAATTGAAACTTCATCAATTTCCACCCCACCCCACCCCCCACTGTTTTCTTTAAAAAAACGATTTTGATTCAATGAACTAAAAGGCATTTAATATTCTGTTCAATGTGTCCTCTGAGGGGTGGATATCTGTGATGGATGAACAGTTCCATTTAACATGAAGTATTTAATGACAAGTAATGTTACATGATGAGGTTTCGAAAATAACAAACGTCTTTGTACACATCTGCACATATCTACTTCTGCATTTTTAAAGCTCATGTTCTGACTGTATTTCTATAAAAACTAATGGAGAGGAGACACATTTTAGACACGTTATTAAAGTTTTAAAAGGATTCTGTGAGGGGAAATGATACCAAATACATTTTGAACTGGATCCAAGCCGGAGATTAACTACATTTGTTATTGTTTTCTGAATGTTAATCTAAGTGACTGCCGCCATGGTTGAAGGAGGACCCTCGAGTCTAAACTCTTGACGGTCTCATGAATGTCAACCATGTGTGTGATCTGTGGAAAACGAACTGGAAGTTGCACTTTTCCTCTGGAGAGTGAGAGGAGAGGACTGCGATGTCAGCTGCTGGAAAGAAAAAAGCTGCCATCCATCTGTGGATATTTGTCGTGTTTAAAGCTGTACAAAGTGAATGATTTTGCAGGATCTGGGGCCATGTACATTTTGAATTGTTAGCCCTTTGTAGAAATCACATTTTATAACATGTGGTGGCGGTTCTGTACAGCAACCAGATCCACAGACTGTTTATCTGTAAATAAAATCACTTACACTCATTGTTGGCTTTGTGTGTTCTTTTTAGGAATTACTAGTACAATAACTACTTTATTATATTTCAAAAGGTTTTTTTGAGGTGTTTTTTTCCTACCTGTGGAACAGGGACGGGCAGGTGTATATATTGCATTGAAATGTGAATTTTCAATACTTTAAATAAGCTACATTTTAATCGCCATTGCAATTATTTTGTCATAAATACACATGATGCATTTCGGTGAGGCATAAAACTAAAACATAGTTTTATTATTCTTCGATAAGGTGACTTTAATGTATGCTTTATACTGACATTATGTCATGGTGCAGGGCAAAAGCAACATAAGACTAGCGTGTTGCCTTTCTAGGAGCTTTTTAACATTAGCGTGCTAAAATCATAAATGTCAATATCCAATATATTACCCGTACTATGACTTTTATATTGAATTGTATGAAAGACTACAATATGACTATTTTTTTAGGATATTTAACGATAAGAATAATAGTTATTTTATGACATTCCATATTATCTTTTTGTATACTATGACATGATTTTAATGACAGTATGATACAACATTTTAATTGCATATTATATTACTTTTTGACATACTATACTATGTTTTCATGTTATTTTATGACAGGGTTAAGGCTATATGAGTTTTTTTACATACATAATAATGCTTTTATATATTTATGACATACTATAATGTGATTTTTGAATCACATTTTTAAATGACATTTTTATTTCACACTAAAATATGGCTTGTATTTTTCATGAAATACTATACTTTTGTAAAAATAATTAATTTAAATACACTTTAATGACTGTGATGACATACTACTATGAACAAAGCATTATTGAACACAGCTTCACTGTTAAAAAAATAATTTATTGCAGCATGATATTTTAATTTTAAATACTGATAGTTTCTCATCAATAATACATATTTGCATCCACTTCAATCCAACAACAGATTTTAACAAGACAGTAACATCTGACGGTGACACCTGAGGGTTTTCCTCACAGCTAAGACAGTCCGAAACACACATCACTGTTCCTCTCCCCCACAGGATGGTGTCAACATGAACGATTTCCTCTCACAGAAACCTTCTTCTCTGCACTGAACAAACACTGAATACAGCACGGTTTAGAGAGAACACTAGTCATACAGAATGGAGTTGCATCCAGCAGTTTTAAAGAGACGCTCACTGCTGTAACGGATTCATCTCTTTAAGTCACTGCAGCATTATGATGACAATATCAGAGAAACACTGCACACACAAACTCTTACACACCTTGATGAAATGATGTTTTCAATTAGTTTCTAGTACAGTTTGATTGTGAATCTTTTTTGTTGATAATTGAGCAGGCACATCCAAATATATCCAGTAGCTGGGAGGCTGCCCACCGTACTGAATGCATGTCAGTGACATGTAATGCTACTGTAGAGTTTAACTTGAATCAGAAAATGTATCTTAATCTTATCTAAAAACATTATTTTTTTAGCCCAAAGTTTTATAGTCTGACGTACATTTGTAGCAAAAGGACTAATTTCTACACCATGACAGGCAGGTACAGGAGAGCAAAACACTGCAGTTGTTTAAAGTGAGTAAACTTAAAGAGGAAGTCCACAGTTGTTTCTTCTTTTTGCACACATAATCACAGATGCTTCTTGGGATACGATGTTAAAACATTTCTACAGATATTGTGTTTAATATGTGTAAAGCTTGAAATTATCTCAGAACATGTGTTTTTTTTTACTGTATATCAAGATATTGTTAAATAACTTTGATTTATTTTGTCAAATGTAATATAATCAATAAACAGTTTGAAACATGGCCGCCTAGGGCTTCCGTACATTTCAAACACTCAAATAAAGTGGGGACAGAAAAGTAGCTTCTGGTGAATGTAACAGTATGATGTTAAATTATGTTGAGGGTGGATTTTGTCTTCCTCATTACTGCTCTTTTACTGTTTCTACAATGTGGCTACTGTGCCTCAGCTCAGCTCTTGACACCAGGCTGGGTTCTCCTATGTAACACCCTCGGTACACTGATCCAGTCTGCATGTTCTACGTCACGTGTGGCTTCAGATGGAGATGGGGCAGATGAGAATGCGATCCTCCAGCATGACGCTGAGCACGAGGAACACGAAGTACAGAGCGAACATGGTGAGGCCCAACATCCGGCTCATCTTCCAGCGACACACAGCGATGGAGATGATGACGAAGAGGAGCATGATGAAGAGCAGCACGATGGCGCAGAACAGGCCGTTGGAGCTGACGGTCACCGGCTCCCCGTTGTGTAACAGAGTGTAAATGAGCCACGGCACCGGCAGGCTGAAACCAGAGGGGACACACCGACAGGTTTCTATCCAGTTCTAGGTTCACACACTGTCTGACATCTGATAGCAGTGGAAAACACATTTAATCTCTACTTAAAGGTCACATACTATGCTATATTTGAACGATATATTGTAGGGCCATATCTATACAAAACATGTCTCTGAAGTGTTTTGCTCAAAATACCAAACAGATCACCCATTGTAGCCATGCCTCATACCCCTCTATTTCAGCCCGGTTACTAAAGTGCTGACTCTGGGTCTGTAGAAGGCTGTCTACCAGCAGAAACTCAGCTAAACGCTGCAGTGATGAAACACCATATCATGTTCCAAACCACATCAAGGATTGTTTCTGAAACAGAATGGAGCTCAAACGCTTTTTCTCTCTCGCGGGTTTACCACAAGGTGAGCTTTTATATCCTGCTTCTTTACACATACTCTCTCCAGTACAGCTTAGCTCTGAGTGTTAGCGATGCTTGCTAATGTAAACACAGACAACATTACTTCCAAAACACGTTGCGCATTGTTTCTGATAGGTTGGGGCGGAATGTCGCCAGGAGTTCAACGTAAAGCCAGCCCACATTTGAGTAATGTTGTCATGACCGCAGCAAATCTGGATCAGCTCCGTTGTACCCCCATTTTTAGAGATGTGGGTAAGGAGTTAAAGAGAGGTTTGTATTTTCTGACACTTTGTGAGTCTCCTTACACGACAGGGACACATATTTATGAATAAGAGACATCAAAAAGTGCATTTTGCATAATAGGTGACCTTTAAATTGACTAATTCCATGTTATGTTACTTCATACTTCTACTCCAAGCTCACCCTATAGTGATGTCGAAGATGTTACTGCCCACTGAGCTGGACACGGCCATGTCCCCCAGACCTTTCCGGGCCACGATCACACTGGTGATGAGGTCTGGGATGGAGGTCCCGGCTGCCAGGATGGTGAGGCCCATGATCTCCTCAGAGATGCCCACGGTCTCTCCCACCTGAAACACAAGAAACAGCGCGTCAATGCCCTCTCAAGTAAAGCAAGGTAACTCTTATTGTAACTAAAAATAAATGTTCTCTTTTACGTCAAATATTACACTTTGTTTTTTCTACATATCATACAAAACAGATTTTAAATGGGTGAGCATTAGAGATGCTGGTAGCCAGATTGAGCTAAATTAAAGGTAGGGTAGGTAAGTTTGAGAAACTGGCTCGAGATACACTTTTTGTTATATTCCATGGAATGCTCTTAACATCCCGATAGCAATGAATATTTTAAGTGCTTTGACAAAAAATCCATAAAAAAATGTCATCTGTGGAAGCCGTAGTACTGTAAAAAGCACGACCAATCATTTTAGCCGGCCCGGCTAAAATAACTGGATGGCCTACCTGCCTGTCTGCCTTCCATCTGTGCACAAACTTATCTCGTGCCCTCATTGGTCATGTGCGCGTTCGTGTGTGTTGGAGGAGGGGCTCTGTAAGGAAGTGGCAGATTTTCTCCGGTTGTGTATTTTCAAATTCTAGCGCACTCGAGCTGGTTTCTCAAACTTACCTACCCCACCTTTAAGACCGAGTCAGGCTAACGTTTGCCCCTTTGTTTCCAACAGTTTTCAACTGTTCTTTTCCTTTAAGTCCTTGAGTTGCAGGAGTTTGCTTATTAGATCAGCGTTAAATCAAACCTCAATTTCAGAAAGTAGTTTAGAATAGTACTTAAAGTTTATTTAACATCACAGACAGCCATCGACTGAATTGGGACTCAATGTTATCCTTTATCATTTCATCCTAATTATTATAAACTGTTAGCAGTTCAGTGTTTTCTTGTAAAACCGTTCTGTGTCATTAAACTGGATGAAACATTTTCTACACTCAAAACCAACATGTCACTCTGGTTTTGAGTTTCTCTAAACATGACTATGAAGGGTTAACCAACCTGATGAGCCCACCACACCATCAGGTAGGAGAAAACTCCGATCCACAGGATGGAACCGATAAACGTGACGGGAAAATACCGCCTGGACGCCTGAAAATTACAAAACATGTTCAGATAAACTGACACTGAGACCTGTATCAAGATGAAATAATAAAGTCCTTTAGATAAACATGTCAAACTCTCTTTTATGTCGGTGATAAGATGTGTTTGTTTTCATAATGGGACTGTTTATTTATTTGGCTTCCAGCTCCTCCACAAACACAAGAGCTTTGGTAATATAACCAAACACCTGTCTGGAGATACGAGAACAACTGTAATGTCAGACAAAGTGGAGAAAAAGCACAATACTCAGCTCTGAGATGTGTAAAAGTAGATGTAAGAGGTAGATGTGAGTAGGTAGAGGTTGAAGATGTGGTTGCTACTCACCAGGTTGCGGACGTCGGGCAGCGTGAGCCACAGCGGGAACACGATGGGCAGCAGGAACAGGTAGGTGGCCTGCTTGCGTCTGGTGTCGGGCCACTTTAAAGACAGCGGTTCACTCTCCTCCTCTTCTTCTTCCTCCTTGTTTTCCTCATCGTCAAGGTCATCACCTTCACTCTCATCGGAGTCTTCACTTTCCTCGTCACCACACTCATCCTCAGTGCTGCCCTGAGAGCCCTCTGACCCCCCCGCTGCCGCCTGCAGGTGAAAGGACACCAGTGAAATGTATTCGAATATTTGTGAATGCTAGTCATTATTTCTCTGCATACCTTCGACTCGTCTGGCTGGTCGGCCGTCTTTTCCCTCGTCTCTTCTTCTTTCTTTTGGGGCTGTGAGGTGGACGGCTCAGCTGCAGCTCCCTTTGGTGCTCCAGCAGCAGCATTAGCATCAGTGGCTAGCTCAGTTAGCTTCTGGTCAGCATCTGGAGAAAGAGGAAGAAAACGCAGTATTACAGGGAGATATAGTTTTTTTTTAAACTAGCATAGTAGTTTGAATATCTTATACAAGCTGCTTAAAACTAATGTTTTAAAGTGAGAAAGAAACAAAGAAACAGATCATAATAATCTCTATGAAATTATAGCATTCATTTAAGTTTAACTGAGTAGAGCTTGAACACATCGTAATGTAACTCAAGGCAACTTCTGTTAATGTTAGCAAAACAGTACCGTGCTGCTCACTAGCTGCTACAGCTAACGTTAGCTGATGCCAACATTAACATAGCACTTTAACTTCAGACCTTTGCATGGGCCCCAACATGATTATGCTGTGTGAGCCAGTATCAAGTGCAAGTGGGAGTGATTGGAGTGTTGGGAGCAAAACATGTTCCAGTAATGGAGGAAAAAAGGATTCACACACACACGCAGACACACACACGCAGACAGACACACACGCAGACAGACACACGCAGACACACACAGTCCCATCTGTATGTTAATCATTAGGCTGATTGATTCAGGCTCCTTAAGGCCTCTCCAGACTCCCTGCAGCTCCACTTTGCTCTGCCCCTCAGAATCTGAAGGATCTCATTACTCCACACAAACACAACCTCCTCACCCCCGCACAGTCTTTAAAGATTCATACACCACCAATATTTTATATCAGTGCTGCACATTCACACCTTTAAACAAGAAATACCACAAGAAGACACAGAACATGCCTGATGTCTACATTTACCTTTTTAAAAAGAGAAATATCTATACATCTAATTTCTGTATATAAGATAAGATAAGATATACTTTGTTGATCGCGAATTGGGAAATGTTTTCGTTGCAGCAGCATGTAAAACAAGTACTGCACATCATTAGAATTTATAGTGGAAAATAAACAATATAAACATAAAGGATAAAAATGCTTTATGCTATGCTATATGCTATAAATAAACGTGTTGATTATTTATTCACCTCCTGTCAAAAGGGAAAACAAATAAAGCTTTAAACAACTCCTAAAAAATAACTTTATCTTGTTTAATAAATACAGAAAGATGTAAGGTATATGATGTTCTTAGTTACATGGTTGAAAATAATAGAATTTGAGATTAGGGCTAGCTGCTAGCTATGCTACTTTCTTTGTGCTTAGCTAGGCTAATTCACTTCCCGCAATTATCTCATGAAATGAGTTATATCTTCTTATCTGACTGCAGGCTTTAATCAAAATGTCCCCTTACAAAGGTGTTAGTGTCCAACATTAAACTCACCTTCAGAGACGCCATGATGGGACTTGCTCTCTAATTTGCCCGTGACCGGGACTTTCAGAGGCTTTACTTTGTTCTTCGCTGCAATCAAGAGAATCACTGCTCAAATACAACATGGAGACTTTTTATATGAGAGATACTTTGTCCATGCCAATGCTGTGCAACCAAACCAACATGCCTTACACTCACACTCCGGCACTTTTGTAAAAGATTGTCTCACAACATTACAGTAACTACTGGATGCAAACACAGGAACATGCAACCATCTAATGTCACATTCACAACCAGTACGGCAGCCTGGACTGACCACAACAACAATATCCACAAACACAACAACAACAGCCAGTCTTACCTTTCTTCTGTACTGACCCCTCCCCTCTAACATCACCATTAAAGGAAGTCTCTGATTGGCAGGAATACATGCCATTATTAGTCTTCCACAAGTATGTGACACTTTAATAACATGCATCTACAGTAGAGATAAAATGTGCTTTTTGAAATGTATTTTTGATCAGACAATGAAATAAAGCTGGAATGGGAAATAAATGTGCTCCCACAGATTCCAAATTGTAATCCAATAATTGTTTAACCATCTCAAAACGGGGGACAGGGTTGAATTTGAGAATGAAGAGTACAATCACGACAGGACACACGACAGGGAACAGAACCAGGTGACATCTAGTTGGCGCTCTTACCTCTCCTGGCTTTCCTCAGGCCCGGTGTTTTCATGGCCCCTCTAAGGGCTGCCTCTACGGATGGAAACGCACAGCAACCATTTTCACTTCTGAGCCATCGTACTTTTATTTGCAGTTGACTGCACATAGTGTCCCGTCAAACTGATGAATCTGTGCTGATGTCCAACACTCTACTTCCAACTATAGTTAGAGATTTTCTACAATTCCTTTTCCATTACAATAGAGATAGCCTGGACCATGATTGATCATCAGATAAAAAGCGGGGTTTTACAAAGCATCTCTCCCTGTTTAATTTGAAAAGACCAACACACAAATCCAAGACGACTCAGAGGATTTTCTGTTGCCAGACACGTCTCCAACTGACAAAACTATCCGGATGTGATGTGCCTTTGATTGACCAGTTATCGACAATAAAATAAAATAAATCATCTGCATCGCCAGGGACACACGAACAGCTGTTAACGTATGGTAATGTGTGAATGTTTATTTAAATACTTAAAAGGAAAAATAAGCTTAAAGTGTACTTCTACATACATTTTTACCACTTGCTGTTAAGTCGGTCTTTTACAGGTTTTACATGTTAAAAGAGTCAGTCCAACACTAAAACGTTGAAAGTAGCTCCATCCCGCTGCTTCACTGGCTCCACAGAGATAAAGAGCTCGGTCTGCTAGCACGCTGGCTCTTATCCAGCTTTTATTAGCCTGTATTGAAAAGCTGATTAAGGATCAGCGGTGGCCGAGTGCTGTGAGAGCGAGGGAACAGAGGCCCGGCAGTGTGAGGACGGGCTGAAGGTCGCGAGGGTTCATCACGTTACCCTGACTGACAGGAAGGGACAGGACACTCAGACCAGGACAGAGCTGAGTCACTGCATAATAGTTGATCAAGCAAAGTTGATTGATAAATTAACAAAGTTACATCCAGCTTCTTAGATTTGTTTCATTTTGTAACACATGATATTAATTTGATTAATTGATATAAAGCAGCATTCTTAATAAAAGTAATTACCTACCTAGCACTATTGCATCCAGACTAACCTACCTTTCTTTTTGATCAACTCTATATCCACATTACGACCACCAGGTTTGCAGATGCTATCTTGTTACTGCAGAAACTATTGTTGGTTTGGTTGTTACCTTCTCTCAGAGGGTCCAGTGTGTGGATCATCAGCTGGAAGATGGTGCTCCTCAGCGAGGTGTTGTGGAGGGAGGCCGAGCTGCCGCCTCGCTGCAGGATGGGACGCACCTGAAAGGGCAGAAGATACACAAGTCGAATCAGGGCAAACCTTGGAACCGTAATAGCACCAATATATACACTGAAACATTTTAAGAGACCTATCCAAATGCTTCTTAAATCTCAATCTCTACATGTATGGCAGCCATTCCATTCCAGTGTCTGTTGAATTCTAACAGAGAAATGTTGTCACTAGTTTATAGAATAAAATAAAGAAATTGGAATTTTACTCAAGCACATACCTATAAAAAGCAAAACCAGAGAAACTGATTATGCTGCAGTAGTCTCTTCATTTTTTTTTGCAAAATACAAATAGTATTTGTATTGGCTGCTAAAATGGAAAACTACCATCATCACTCTCGGTTCACTTGATAGTTTGCTAAAGTTGCTTAAAAAAAAGCACCCTTTTGTAATTCTCCAAATGATGAAGCATAGTGCTGACGTAAAAGGAAATACAATTATATAAAAAATGTTGGCTGCTTTAAGTTGTTAGCATGTCTGGCTAACATGCTAGCTAGCTACAGCAGCGTCTTAGCATTACCTCCAACGCTTAGCGAAGCAACTATAGACAACTTTGCAAGTAAAGGGGAATAGAGGTGAAATATTCATTTTGAATAACCATGTGAACAGCTTAGCAGTGATATTGTTGTAAACAGTAAGAATAAAAAGCCTACTGATGTAGCAACAGTAACTAAAAGAGGCAGAAATAATCAAGCAGTCGATTAGCCAAAATCTGACATACACAGAGGAGCATTTCACTGAGTTAATAAAGGAGTGCAGTAAAGGGGGATCTTGAACACTGGTAGATTGTTAATAAATGACCGAAATATATTTTATGACACGTCCTTTCAGTGTACACAAACAAAACAAATGTATTTTTTTGGTACCCTGAGTCTTTCTTTGTCCTCTTGGGGGTCTGATGGTGGTTTGTTGCCTCGAGGAGTGCTGGGAGCAGGTTCAGGTTCTCGTTTGGACACTTCTTCAGCTTTGAGTGCAGGAGGAGCAGCAGAGGTAGCAGCAGGAGGAGCTGGTGGAGCTTCACTCTCCTGTAAAGTCAATGAAAACTTAATCAGTTAGTAGCACCTCAGTCATTCAGGTTTTGTGCATGCAAATACAACATTTTGTTTGTTTCATAGTGATCGAACTGGAAACGTATTCTGCATTACATATAAAGTTGATTTTCATCTCCAAAAATCCCACATATAATGTAATCCTGATCGTGAATCCTGTTCTGAAACTCAGAGTAAGATTAAATCTGATTGTGTCACTGGGTATGAATCAGAAGGACTGTACAGTAATCCTATCACTCCATTATATGAGTTTCTCGCTGTCAGCAAAATATCCCATCACCAACTTTAATCTTTAAAGTGGATCCTGCTCTATAACTGCATCCCAACATTTGAGTCAAAATCTAGTTTTGACACTTTCATTTGTTCTGCTGTTGCTTGGCTTAAATAGAGCAAACAGCAAAGCTCTCACTCGCTCTCAGGCTTTGTATTCTCGTTCTTTAAATCATCTCTTTTTGTGTGACAATTTGAGTTCTCCCGTCTTTAAACCTGCTCAATGTCACCTGTTCCAGAGCACATTTCTGAGGTTTCATCATATTTAGTCATAAGCCATGCACAATGTGCTACATGACATTAGGCAACATGGTCCCCTCAGTTTGTGGGCGAATAAAAAATCTGAAAAAATAAGAATTTCTCTTGTATTAAGGTACCTAAAAACCCAGCTCATCACTGACAAATAAAGCAACAATTGTTGGACCTGCAGGTAGATGCTAAAACAGGCAGCAGTTTATGTGACGTCATGAAATAGACAACATGATACACTACATGGAATGTTAGTTTTATGTCAGGAGTTGATATACGTTTATAATGGATATCAGCCTGCGTGAAGACCCTGAGGAAGTCATGGCAGTGATACAATTGCTGAATTAAATGAGCTGTTGAGCAGAATAAAATCAATTCCTAGTAAATTGCCTGGGAACAGATTTGCATCGTATGACAATGAAGCTAGTCACATCTTTTTTTCTTTATTATTTATTTTCATTTGATGTTTGTTTTGTTATTAATTCAGGTTTTTCGCCACTGTTTATTACAGTGTCTCCGGCTGCATGAGTCATCTCTCTCAGCAACATGATGCACGTTAACTTGGGTCCTATATTCAACAGGTATCCTCTGAACAGAGATAAGACTGTGAATGCTCAGAAAGGAACGTTTTTGAATAATGCATGTTTATTAAAATTCCTGGAAAAGTATGTTTTGAATTCCAGTCATTTTGACCCATTAATGTGGCAGCATGCCTCATTACGCCCAGTGTTTTCACGGAGGGAGCGCGTACTGACGGCAGACGTGCTTCAGGCTGAATGAAGAATGTGCTGGCGATACTTGAAATGCTGAAACACAGCTCTGCATGTTAATTGCAGGCTCAGACATTTACTGCTTTCTGTCAGCTGCAGGAAGCAGTTTAATGTGCAGGCCTTCTGCAAGTAAATAAGCCCATTCAAAATACATTATTACATTTCCCTTTATTCTACATCTCTACTCACTGGTAGTTCGGGGCTGTGACAGAAACAGAGTGACATTTAAATCACTTCCCCACTGTGACACGCTGTCTGTGACACCTGGAGTCCTTTCTGCTCAGCATCATCAAAGGATTTTGCACAAATACAGGCCATCACCTGCTCAGACCCACAAATCACTGTCCCTTTCTCACTGTATCTGAACAGGCAGCAGATCCAAATGTGGCCAGATGAAAGGGTGGAAAATATTCTGTGTACAATTGGAAGTCTGTCTGGTAAAAACTGCTCTGTGTTGTCCGCCTGTATCTTTTGTTTTATCTGTAAAAAATACTAAAATACCAAAACGAGCGATGCATTAATGCATCTTTGAATATTTGCTGATTCTCTACCATGTCTGTGGTAGCCGCAAGCCCCTTTTGAGAACATACATCTTAAAATCAGCTCATTGATATATGATGTGATTAAAAAAGCTGAATATTTAATTTGTTGTTAGGGCAATTGTTTGGGTCTTTTTTCAGCGGCAGATTCATCCACCTCGGGAGTATTTGTGGCACCATTAAGGTGTGTCTGATAGGCAAAAAATGTGTGTGATTTGATTGCTTGGTTTATTAAATCTTAGAAAACGGTTAAAAAAAATGCCCATCACAATTTCATATTCAAATGCTTTGTTTTATCCAATCAATGATCCAAAGATAATCAGCTTACTGTCACAATTGACTTGCTTCCTAGATGAGCTATAACCAGTTAATTTGTATTATTCTTTATATCTTTTTTAATAGGTTTGTAAAAAAGGTTATTCAAATGTTCTCTACCTTGATTGATCAAGTCAATTGACTAATCATGTTATCTCTACTTTAACCAGATCATTACAGATTCATTTTAGCTGTTTATAATCTGTCACATCACAGACAAATGTAAACAACAGCCACTGTAAAATCACGAGGATTGTCACTGTAAATATTTTAGTGTAGCAGGGATTTTAATTATTGAATGTATTGTACTGAAGGAGCCAAGTTGTGGCTGTAATCAGAAATGTGGAGCTGCAGCCATTGAAAGGGGAGCTGATAATTGAATTAATTGAGCTAATAAAACCTGATTTGATCATTAAATCAGCTTTTGTGGACGCAGACTAATAAGAACTCGGCTTGTTATTGACAACCTCGGCGTGAACACAAATCACTGTGTTGTTAATTGCATGATTTTTAATTTAATTTAACCAGAACATCCATCCAGATGTGTGACACTAACTGACCTTCTCTGGATCCTCCGCGGTCCACACCTTGACGATACTCATGTGCCTGTTGATCTGGGTCTTCACCGCATGCTCGATCTGACTGTTGAACTTCATGAAGCTCACGTAGCTGATGTAGCCCAGCACCAGCAGCATGCTCTCCCACCACAGGATCATGTTGTCCACAAAGAACACGATGAGCATGATGAGGTCCAGGGTGTAGAAGGTCACGTCTCTGAAGAGCGGCCACCAGGTCAGGTGCAGCATCTCCCGGGAGAAGATGGCGCACATGCCGATCACAAACAGGATGTTGAAGACGGCCGAGCCCACGATGGTGCCGATGCCCACGTTATTGTGGGAGATGAAGACGCCGATTAGGGAGGTGAAGAGCTCGGGGGCGGAGCCTCCAGCCGCCATGAAGGTTGCCCCCGCCACGTCTTCAGAGATCTCCAGTTTGTTGGTGATGACCTCCAGCCCGGGAACAAAGAACTCATCACAGACGATGGCCAGGGCGACAAACATGTAGACCATGCCCATGAGGTGCAGGACCACCCAGCCCTGCCGCCGCTGCGTCACTGTGAAGATGTCCGTTGGAAAACCGCTCTTCCTGTGAGGGGTGGTGGGGGGCGGTTGAGTCGGGGGAGGTTTGGGAGGTTGAGGATCTACGTAGATACACTGTTGGATATCTGTTCTGTTGACAACTATCACCGGAGGAGTATTGGTGCTCTCAAGTAAGACAACCTCCTCCTCCTTCGTCTCATTTGACCCTATCACCTCCCGAATGTTGACTTCCACAACATCATCATCATCACTATTCACATCTGCTCCGAGAGTGTGGTCCCTCTGGGCGGAGGCTCCAGGCTCTGACAGCCTTGCCTTCAGAGTCAGCGTGTAGACGAAGCACAGCAGCACACCTGAGAGGAAGAAGAGGAGGCGACTGCGCTTGAGTCTCCTCCTCGGGGGAGAGTGCACCTTCATTGCCCTCGTGGTCTTGACTCCAAACAGGAAGTTCATGTTGTCGGATGCATTGTTATTCTTTGATGGTTTCAACTCCGTAATGTGGCGGAAAGACGCCAATGGCCAATGGATAAGACACACACACACGGACAAGTGTGTTTCATCTTCTACAGCAGGCAGCTGCAACCTGTGGAAGGACTAGAAACAGAAAACAGTTGGAATCCCATCAGCATGAACATGTGTGTTATGTCCATTATGCTTGCATAGCTGCAGAGGAAAACCTACTGAAGAGAAGTGTGTGTGTGTGTGTGTGTGTGTGTGTGTGTGTGTGTGTGTGTGTGTGTGTGTGTGTGTGTGTGTGTGTATTAAAGGGGGTTCAGACAGCCACCTGTTACTATGGATACATAATCACGCAGGCTTGTGCTACTCTTAAAAAAGGAGTGAATTGAAGACACGTTGAAAAAATACCGAAATAATGCCGGAATGCTTCACAATAAATCAATAAAATACGAAATGGCCTCTGATTATTAGTATTAATAATCAGAGGCAACAGCTCTCGGAAACAACGAGATGAAATGCCCGCGTGCAATAATCGATCATTAATGCTACAATAATTAACCCAGCTCGCAGTGCATTAATAGCAATAAAACAAACACATCTGAGAACAGCAAGGGCGTGTTCAGGTTTAAATGTGAGGCCAGCGCGGATTATATCATGTAAAGTCCACACAAACCGGTAAATGATTCCTTCAACATCCAAAAATATCAACAAAAGGACAATAAAATCCAGAAAGCTGTTGTTAAGCGGGGTGCGGGTCCTACCTGTTGCGCGTGCTGCTCGCTCCCTCGCCGCTGCACACGTCCCTCCAGCTGTGCGTAACGGACGCAGAGATGCTGACTCCGGGGTTTTGGGGAGCTACAAGGGCGCACAGCATGTCAGGGCTTGGACGACGGTCAGCATAACGCAGTTAAGAGGATTAGGAGCCGAACACCTCTCACCTTCCTCCTCGCACATAACGCTGTATCAATACAGCAACATTCAAAGTGTGGTGGTGGTTCGGGGTGAAACCTGGGAGGGGGCTCTGCGGGCGATGCCTGTTTGCTGTTCAGAGGCTGACAGGAGGGGTTTGGTCCTTAGTTAGGGTGTGGTCAGGTGAAGTCTTATTTTAGGGGTGTGGAGGATTGAATGTATTCGTGTAATGAAAGTGCAGAACATGAGCATGTATGTTGGAAAACAAGTGCGTCTTGGCTTAGTGGGAAAATATTTGCCTCAGTGATAATACACAGTATTTTCAATGGAAAAATGTCCAATGTTTACATATGGAAATAAGACTTTACTATTGTTACAACATGACAATATTTAGAAACTCTTTTTTTTAATCTTTTTTTTTAATGCAGGTTTCTTTTTTATCTCAAATTTCAATTTAAGTTAAGTTTGAAGAATTTGGACTGTGATTCAAGTTGAGTTAAAGGAAGAATTCATTAACAATAAGTAATATTGAATGGGACCTCCTTTCCATTGTCAAAATGTACAAAAATAAAATAAGCATAACAAAAATATGAAACATGTTTCATTACACCCAGTCCCTGTTCACTCACACAAGTCTTCACTTATTCCTTATATTTAAGTCATCTGCTGAGAAGCCAAATGACTTTCACCAATATGTCCAAATTATGATTATAAAGGCTTAAACTGTACCGCCCTGACGGAACAAAAGAAGGTGAATACAGCCACAGAGAAAACGTCCAATCAGGCAAAGTGAAAACCCCTGTGGCTGGGGGCTTAAAGAGTGGCAGGGGGCAAACGCTCACTAAATAAATTACACTGATGAGACATTCTTTGACCCGTTATGTCGCCTTGAAAAGAATCCAGAATGGTTCTGAAATGGAAACATTTTCATGACATTTTAATACGTTTGAATCTCCAACAACATCCATCCTTTCCTATTTGCAGCGAAATGTAAAACAATTAATTAAACTTTTTTTTTTTTTTTACATTTTATAAAAGGAACTGAGTTGAGAGAAAAAAAACACCCGACCTCCAAAATTAGAAAACTGATGTTTATTTTAGGCAGGAAACCATATTTGTGATCAAAATGCAGCGTTAGTCTGAATGTCCCTGCCTAAAGACTTTTGAAATGCAAATAATGTCTAAATCAAGCTTTATGACAAGTACACATCTTTCCCAAACACCATTAGAAAAAACAAACAAAAAAACTGAAACAAACAAATTAAAATCAACAACTTGAATAAACACAAATAAATCCAAAACAAATGGAAAGTCTAAAGGGTAAACAGATTGGGTGGAACAGGAAGTGGACGGCTCATTGTTGATGATGTCATATCCTTCAACAATATTGCCTGTGCTCAGCTTCTTCACTCAGTTTCACAGTAGAAGAACACCTGCCCCCTCTTTAGTGTGAAGCGTCAGTGCTAATAATAAACCATCTGCCACACTTCTCCAATTTAAGATCCAGTGGGATTTGTCATTCGTCACACCTGGGTAAGAGCAGATTTGGATTGTAAAAGATGTTTGGTGCATCTGGAGTTCATCCTTTATTTAACCAGGTAAAAGACTCATTGAGATTAAAATCTCTTTTCCAAGAGTGACCTGGCCAAGAGTTTAATTTTTTTCTCCTAACAGACACATTTAAGAGAATTGTCACTTGACCAAGAACAACAAAAAGTTGCATTTCTATGATTGTAGTGTAAGCTTCTGATGGTAGAAAAATATATTTGCATTAATTGGCACACTGACCATACACACATCAACTGTGTATACTTACAGAGAAAACAGTGTGTGCTTGTTGTGTTCCTTCTATTCATGTCAGTGTCCACATGGCAGATTGTTAGATTTATTCAAATGACCACTGGTGTCCAATGTTGCCCATTTTTTTTAAAATGTTGACATAATAATAATTCATTTATTTTATATAGGCGCCTTTCAAGGCTCTCAAGGTCGCCGTACAAATACATAAAAAACAAGATACACAATAGATAACACCAGCATAAGAAACATAAACAAGACAATGCAGTATATAAATCAATCAATCAAATAACCAAATAAATAAAAACAGAGGATGTGTGATGGATAATGATCAGGGTGGATATGCGAGTGTGAAGAGATATGTTTTGAGGCGTGATTTGAAAATCTGGAGAGAGTCAGTGTGTGACATGGTGCTTTAAAGAAGATAAAACTGGACTCTGGAGGTGCTGTCAATTCAGAACTGGCATAATGTACTCAGCTGAGTTTTCATTAATGCACCAAAAGCATTTGTCGAGTTATAAAAAGATAACCTTTTTATTTAGCCCTTCAACTTCATCCTCCATTCCTATCCTCAAATAAACGTTCTCCTATTTTGCTATTTGTATGTTTAGCGTGTTTTTTTTAGCGTTTACCATAAAAAGCCAACAAACAATACTTCAATCATAATTTGTCAATCCCATGTCCTCCTTGTAGGTCACAAAGTATAAGCTTAATCGTTGTATAGGTTGCCAATACAACTAGTGTAAAGGCCAATAGGAAGGATTGTGTGTTTCATGAAAAGATAGATAGATCAAAATTCCTCTTAAAAGTAATTTGCATGGCTTTTATAATATTCAAAGCCGTGAATGACTGACTGAGACAAACAAGGCTCAGTGTTTGGAAAACACATCTGACCATTTCTCAAGAGCTTATCTACCTTAAATCACCGATGATGGATCAGTGATTTTTCTTCAATGGGTTAAAAGATATCTAAAAACATTATGAGTTTTGATCCAACAAAGACCATCAATTAATAAATAATCCTAAAGCAATAAATAAAACAAAAAGGGCAAATCTGCCTGAGCCTTCCCAGAAAGAGTTTTCTTTAACCACTCTAACTGTGGAACATAGGACTCCATGTCCCACTGCAGACGTGGACAAACATCTTGATAAATATGACATTTTTTAAGAGAATAAACACACTAGTAGTAAAGCACTGGATGTACAGTTTTTTCAGGTGATGTGTGTTGTGCAGCTGTTAAAGGATAAACAGGATGTGGTCTGGGGAAAGTTCACCCATTGGAGGATTAAGGGGAAAAGTCCTCCTTCAGGTCAGTGTATGTGTGTAGAAAATGAGAAAGGCAATTGAGGAAAATAAACCTTTTGCTTAATCTTTAACAGGACGGCAGTTCAGGGTGTTTTAAAAATAGGCTGATGAGTTATTGGACTTTCCTTTTCCTCGAGCGGAATCGTCTCCTCCTCTGCTTGTACAGGTGCCGGAAATTGATGAAGAGTCCTGGGAGGAGAAGAAAGCCGTCAGTATGAAGCTGATAGACTAGCTGTAATGTTTGTCTTATCGGGTGACTGCACAAACACATTCGTAAGCCCCGTCTCCACAACACAAGTAAATCATTCCTTCATTCAAAACTGTTTCCAGGGACATTTTTGCACATGAAAATGACATTTTCAGTTAGACATTTATAATGCAACTAATAAAACACATGTTGTCTTCAGTTTTTTAGTTTTTTTTTTCTGCAATCAGTGCCTTTATTTAAATGACAGTGTTGAAAGGGGGAGACGGAGGGGATAGCACAGGTCAAACGGTCCCAGGCTGGATTCGAACCCGGGTCCTTCGCATCGGGACCAAGCCCCAGTATGTGGGCAGCTCTACAAACTGAACTTTGCAGCGGACTCCAAATGCCTTTTTTCTACATTTTCAATCACCGCTTCTTTTGAGGTTTATGAATCAAGCTTCAAATGTCTGACTTCATATTTTATGAATCGTTATTTGATAACAAATAGTTATTGATCGAAATACATTTGTCTTTATTATGACTTTGTCTTTTGCAGTTAAATGAGTTTTCCTTAAGCAGCATACATTGTCAGTTTTGTTAGACAGCATTTGTATGCCGATTTAGAATTAGAATGTCAACATGATAAGTTACGCTTCCTCACAGACTGAATACCCAGATGTCTTGCTTGTATCTTGGCCACTAAACCCAACACACACAAATACATTTTGCACTTAAAGGGTTTAGCACATTTGAAGCTAATGCTCCAGAACCTACAATGGTTTTGCTTATTCAAAGTGAATATACTTGCATTCTTCTGACTTGGTGTCTTTATGGTTTATTGCATTTATTGTAAGTCGAAGGTAAGGGATGTCTCACCTAGGAACATGAGGACCAGGTAGATCTGCAGAGTGTAGGAGAAGCTCAGGGAGCCTCCGAGCAGCGCGGGGAGGGGGACGCTGAACAGACGCGTCTCATCAAAGATGGCCAGGGACTGGATCACGGCCACCGCTGGAAACAGGTACAGAAAGACACAGAGTCAGCAACAACTCATGTGTACCCCTCCAACTTTGTCTATGCCACTGTTTTCTCAGTATTCTAATCTCTAACCTTCAGCCAAGACCCCCAGCGGGTACAGAGGGATCCAGAGGCTGTACCTCAACCACGTCAACAGCTTCCACTCTGTGCTGATGCAGGCCAGCATGTAGAACGGGTACCTGATGTGGAGAAGGAAGAGCCTGTGTTAGAGGAGGCAGTTACGCATGTTGAGCAGAGAGGGGAGGATGATGATGTGACGGACCTGAAGATCTCGATGGTGCTCCACAGGTAGAAGACGAAGAACACCACAGGTTTGTTCTGCATCTCCTCCAGACTGCCGAAGATCACAAACAGAATAACGTTCCTCCCTGCCACCTGCAACAGAGAACCATCAGACAGAGTTTAGATACTGTTATTCACATGATGTTAAATATGAATGCTAAAGTATCAGATCGTGATGCTTAAGACAATACTGTTCTTACAACCAGAAGTGGAGGAAGTACTCAGATCTGTACTTGGGTCAAAGTAGAAGTACCAGAGTGTAGAAATACTCTTTTACAAGAAAAAGTCCTGCATTCAAAATGTTACTCAAGTAAAAGTACTAAAGTATTGGCATCAAAATAGTTAGTACCATAAGTAAAAGTACTCATTATGCAGATTGGCCCATTTTAGAATAATATATATCAAATGTTTTGATTATAATTATTGCTGCATTAAAGTGTTCTCAAAGCTGGTAAAGGTGCAGCTAGTTTGAATGACTTTCTATACTGCAGGGTAGATTGTGAAATGTACATCATTAATCCAATTCTGTAAAGTATCTAAAAGGTAAACTTCTTGATTAAATGTAATTAGTTACTTTACACCACTGCTTACAACTGTCTGAAAATCTGCAGCATTTGCCCCATATTTAAAGGGACCTTGATGCTTATATTCAGGTTTCATCATTATATGTTGTGCCTCTACTGTGACATGTCTCCATGCTTTAATGTTCAAAAAGCTCGTTATTTGTCTCATACTGCCTGTGATGCAGCACCTCTTTCCACCCTCTGTCTGAAACCAGAGCCCAGTCTGCTCTGATTGGTAGCTGGCCGGCTCTGTTGTGATTGGTCAACTGCTAAGAAATGTCCCGCCCCTTACGGCCCGTCCACACGGCGGCGTGCGTTGAAGCTTCAACGCTTCTGCCCATTCACTTTGAATGGGGTGACGTCACGCTTTGCCGAACTGCATTTTGGGAGCGTTGCTTCGCTTTGCTCGTGTTGCTCGCTTCAAAAGTTGAGCAATGTTCAACTTTTGAAGCTTCGGCAGAAGCGTCAGCCAATCAAATCATATGCCAGTACAAGCTCTAGCCAATCAAACCGCGTGCTTGTGTGTCCGGGGCGGGAGTTTCATGTGATTGGTTGTTGGTCGAGTTTCAGACAAGCTCACCGGGGGGGAGAAACTCCCTCTGGAGGGAACCTTGGGATTTTAGCCTTTGCAGACCATTTACATGCACACACACACAGTACACACACACAGTACAGGAAAGGGAAGATCCCAAACAGCATTATAGGGCCCCTCGCTCAATGTCAGCCATATTTTTCCTACGCCTTAGAGCAAATGGCATCAAATCCTACAAACTGGTTCTTTTCTAGCATGCCCAGGTCATAAGGAATACATTAGTGATGATTGTAAACTAGGTCACTGATACTCTTTACAGCAGGTGTAAAGCTTGAAACCCCAAGAGTGGAGCATGCAGCAGATTTGCGCCCATGGTTTTGGAATGAGATGTTTAAATATCACATGTAATGTTCAGGTTTCCACATGCTTTTAGCCATATGTGTGACAACTTACACTAGCTAAATTAAAGTAACTTTGCTTTTTGATGACTCAAATGTTTAGGTGTTACTTGGGTTTACATAATCAGGCTTGAAATCAGAATAAAACATGAAGTGATTCTCTCTACCTGTATCATAGCAGGAAAGAATCCAGTCTTAACCAGACCCAGCAAGGGGTTGATGACCTCGAGCACGGCCATCATCTGACAGAAATACATCATGTCGGCCGTGGTGTGGAAGGTATCATAGAACGAGTCTGTGAAGGGAGAGAGAAACAAACGGACATAATTGAACCGCACATTGCATAAGCGTCTATTCATAATCCTCATCATTTGCAAAACAAATCCCTGCCGCGTAGCCGTGTTCCTGTTTCAATTTAAATGAGCTCATCTGTGAATCGCTGCCTCACAAACAAAAACACAGAGCTCTATCTTTCTCTCTGTGTTTCTGGACCTCCTGTGTGTTTCATTTAGCTGCACAGTGGTGCTGATTATGTCTTATTTATTATGCAGCCCATGAAATGTAAAAGCTATTAAAGGGAGTGCAATTGTCTGTTTTGCCCCAGGTTTTTATCTTTATTTCGTCCATCCCTTTACAGTTTGCCAATTCTGCTTTTACTCAACTGTTTCACATTGATCATCTTTGAGATTCGTGTGATGTAATGAACAAAGCACAAGAACAATGTAACTGACATTAAAGTTACTTCAAGTAAACTGTGGTGTGCAGGGTTAATGTCTCTGCTCGCAGCTGTTTATGGCATACTATGATTATAGCCACATTTTATCCAGTCTTTGCAGCAGAATCTAATAATCTACATGTAATTAAATAAGATTTGATGTAATGCACTGTGGCTTCAAGACCAAATTATTGTCAGTAATAAACAAAGGAAAAGCAGATATCTTGTATTTACAGAAACACTCTAAAAATGGTTAGGCAAACTTCCAGTACTGCGGGGTAACTGGTTGACCTGGACATAAACGTATTCCTCTACAAACCTTGACCAAGAATGAAGAGTCGAACGGTCATGTTGACAAAGATCCAGGAGAATCCCAGGAACTGCACCAGGTTGTACATAAACAAGTAGCCCCTCTTCAGCCCAAGGTACGCTGAGGAAGAGAAGAATATAACTCAAATAACTGATGCTAATGTTGCTAACACATGAGAAGTACTTCTGTGAGGTTATGTTTGGAAGGTAGCACAGAGCACAGTGGGACTCACGGTCTTTACGAACTCTCGACTCCACACTTATCTTGTTTATTTTCTCTTCCTCCTGAAAGAAATCAAACCATAAAAAACATTGTTTCGTGCAATTTTTGAAGTAGGAAACCATTTACATTACCTCACATCACATAAAAACAAGATTTTAATTTCATAATAATGAATTGTGCAATTTTATATTAACACAGTCCACTCAATCGTAGTAAGAAAAAGGTGCCATTTAAAGGTCTAGCACCGGGAATATTGCAAATATATATATTTAAATATAATTTAGATATATATAAAGTTAGACAGCGTGGTGGAGTCTTACAATGTTTGATATATGCTAAGCCAAACCATTCAGAAAAACAGCAGGGGTGGATCAGATTATGTCTGTGAGACTCTAAAACATATAAATGTTGCTTTTCTTACCTTTCTTTCCAACACAGTTTATTGAATCATTTTGAGAAATTGGCAAGCATTCCTGTAATAGTTGCTATGTTTTTCCAAACAAAGAGACATCCCTTTGGATGGTGGCTTTGTCAACTAATGTGTAAAAGGGGTTCACATTACTGTAAAATCCCAGTGAAGTCCGACATCGTATTTAAAACAACTTTGAGCTTGGACTACAAATAGCACCAACTGTCCTAACTGAAATTAGAATGATCCCATAAAACCGGTTCATCTACTCATTTGCCTCATCAGTCAAAAGCCTTTTCAGTGTGGACTTCATTTTATGTTCACAGTACCTTAGCCTGAAGCTCCATCTCGGCGTCCGACTCGTCCAGCCAGCGGTCGAAGTCTGGAGCCAGAAACAGAGGCTTCTTCTCCTGCAGAGTCAGCCGGTCCCACCAGCGCTCCTCCTGCTTCCTGATCTTGATGTCCACCTGACGCTGGGTGGACTTATGGTTGATCTGAAAGGTATTACAATGTCTATCAGGTTTCGTAACTGAGACAAGCAGAAGGCAATGATGTAATGTGAGTAGCTAGGGAAACCACATTTGATCAACTACTGACTGAAAATAACTTGGTTAAAGGACACATTTGAACACATATCAACTTAAGTTATTTCTAGAAGGTACATTTATGCAGTCATTATACGGAGAAATTGTATGAAATTTGCCAATGTGCATACTGTACTTGCTGTGAAAATTATAATATGTATTGCCTTTTATAGTTTAAGGCAATTATTTAATTTTAAATATATATCTCGGTATCTGTAAGTACTGCTGGAAACAACAAGTGACAACATAGAGTTATTATACACTGTAGGAAAACACATCAATAATGCCCTCCTGAACACGGGTACTTATTTAAATCACATTACAATTGTGCAAAAACAAGACATTTCAATATAACTAGGGCTGCACGGTTTGAAAATAAATAAAAAATTCTCTTTTTAAAACATTTGTCACATTGTCATTGAAACATGTATAAAAATGATCATGGTGTAATGATTGATGTGTACCAGACAAAGAGTTATTTAGATTGTAAGAATCTGTTTATAGACATCTCTGCAGCATGAAAATACTTTAATCAAAATTACATTTTCATATATGTGGTCTTTACAAAATATTGAGCTTATTGACATTTGGACATTGCATCAGTCCATATTGCAACTTCGATTACATTTAAATTAATTGGACAACACTCAATATTAAAATCAATTTATACACACATAAGTGAGAGATGAATAAAATATTGTTACCTCAGTTCTAACAGGTTCCCGAAACTCCAGACTGAACTTGTATTCATTATCTCCTTTAGCTCCATGGCCCTGTGCTGTGGAACAATATGAATTGCCATCATGTCAAATATAATAAATCATGTGAAATATTTAAAGATTATTAAGAAAATGTTTTGCTTCAATATTTTCATTATGCAAGTGTGTTTCCCCCTCACAAGCACCCATGTAAATACTGACCTTTGAACTGAAGTGTGTTGTTTTCTTGTACACTGATGTCGAGATCCTAAAAAACACAACAGCAACCATCACCACCAACCCGACACTGACGCACAAAATACAAATGTAAGGATAAGCTGAAGGTGTAATTATTTTTAAACAAATATATATTCATTATTTTTAGACAACTGGCCAATGTAGTTATTTATATATCTTACTTAATAAAACTAAAAAAAGTATTTGTTGGGTACTATTTTCAACAGCCCATATACATATATATATATACATATAATAAGGGTTTAAAGAAGAAGGATGGTGTTATTGGGTTTTTGGCTATTAAAGGAGCTCTATGTCACAAAAAAATAGATATATCTGTCTTAATTCACAAAAGACTTACTAGTGAGAGCCACACATTATTGTTTTTGCAAACATTTAAAATAACCCAGACTTAACCCTTTAAAACAAGTACCCAGTTTATTATGTATGTACACTAAGCTAAGTATTGCAGTCAAATACAACAGCCCTGTAATATTATATAAATGCAATAAATCATACCCACAAATAGGGATGATAAGTAGGGCAACTAATAGAGCGGTATGGTAAGTTTAAGAAAACACATAGCTTTACTGCAATACAGCCTTTAAAACCAGGAAAATACACTTTTGCTATATTAGAATATCCACAATCTAAAACGATATATTTCGTAAAGAAGGAAGGTGTGGCTTCAACTTTTTGGGCATTTTATAGGCTGTAATTTGTGTTAATGATTCTAAGTGCATTATACAGAAACACATTTTATATGTTTTATATTTAGTCTTTCCTTATTGATAAGTTGGCGTTAAATACGTAACATGACAGGTGTTCCTCTGTCAGCCTGTTTCAGTGATCATTGAGCCATTCTGCTAAGGGGCTAAACAAGATCCAGAACAACCATTACAAGTCATGCATCTTTTATAGGATCATTGTCGAACCGATGCAGGACGAGGAGGAGGAGGAAAACCAGTAATACCTGTAACTAATGCAAACACTTAGCCAACAGAATAAGATAAAAGTAGTCAGTTATAGATGGTGATGAGGTGACGATAAATCACCAAAATAAACACAATGATTATTAGTAGTAGTAGTAATACAGGTTTTGACTGGCTGACAGAAAGCATTAACATTCCAATATATTTAGTATTGAGCTGGGTTTATTGAATTATTTATTCTGACTTTTATATCATTGTATTTGTTTTAGTGGTAGTTGACAGCGGTGGAGAGTAGTGATTAACAAGGAAGTCCAGTTATAATTTACAGCTTTTAAGCTTAATGCTTAAAGATAAACCGACAGACAATACATTGTTATCAGCTCCCGTTACACTGTGTATGTTGCCGTAAAAAACAAACGTATATTTTGTTTGGACGTAGAACAAATGCGTAACATTACATTATTAACGTATTATCAATTTTCTTCTGGGCATCACACATAAACGTCATAGGTCAAAATAGCGGTGTAACGGTAGCCAACGGTTAGGCTAGCCGTTAGCATAGGGATATGTTAAACATGAATAAGCCACTTTTACACCCACAGCATTAATATATTAAAGATTAAAGGCATTAAACCATATGTCTTTATCAGTAAACGACAGGTCTGTAAGAGTTAAAGCTGGCGTGGTTACCTTTGCATCGCTCAGGTCCACCCGGAGGAAGATCTCTGAGTGCCGCTGAGCCCAGTAAACATGCGGGGTGAGGATCTGCATTGTCACTCTGTGCTTTCTGATATCTACATGCCATAAAATGAGAAGAAATGTACTCAAACTGTAAACCTACGTCCTCATCTGACAGCCTGCCGACAACCCCCACGCACACACAACAGAGGGGATGTGATGGAGCATGTTTCCGGGAGGAGGGCGTTTACGCGCTTCAAAATAAGATTACTAAAGGGCTAAATGAGAAGTTTCAAAATAAATTTAAAGTCCCCACACTTTAAAATGACTAATAAATTAATGTCTTGTAATAGCGAGTGTCTGATGTATTTTCTACTCACAAAAAAGTTAAATGACCTAATAAAATAAATATATTAAGTTGAGTTAAATAGGTCTACATTATTTTTTTTATTTTTTTGTGATCACATTTTTATTGAGATGAATACACAACATGTACAACCAAAAACACAACATTTTTCTTTTTTAAATAAAATAACTAAAAGTACATAAGAATAATACAAATTAGACAACAGCAATTACTTACAAAATGCAGAATACATATGTAAGCTAAAAATAATAACAATAATACAGACAAACAGAAATAAAACACACACACACACACACACACACACACACACACACACACACACACACACACCTTCTTTATGTATATAACCAACATGTCAATACGTTTCAGTCTTTGTAGTGTATTGGTCTTTTGTAGAGATTTTTCATTTATTCATTATATATTCTATTGTGTATTGCTTGGAGGGGGGGTCACCAAATCATAATCTCGCCTAGGGCACCAACATGTCAAGGACCGGCCCTGCGTAGTGGAGTAAAGTAAATGTACTTAGTTAATTCTCACCTCTGCATAGCATTAGCTTGCATATGAGACATTTAGGGACCATCGGTGGGATGATGATCCAAAGATTGTATAAGGGAGGGACAATAACTAAATAAGCCAAGGCAGTACTAAGGTAACGCCTCCTTGTCGCCTTATGTTCGGTTCCAAAGTACAACTAAACTCAGGTTAGCCACATTATGCGAAAGTTCACCGTGTCAAAGGCTTTGTTACCGAACAAGTCTTGCAGCTTGCTTCCTACCGACTGTTAGTTTACGTTTGGCGGTAACACTAACGATATAAAAGTGTGTATACAAGAGGCAAAATGAGTGCAAGAGGAGAAACAGCCGAGGAAACCGCTAAAGCTTCAGTTCCCATCCAGGCTCACGTTATAGACCAACCGAAAAGAAAGAAAATTATTAACATTGTTTACCTCATCGCTACTTTGGACATCACATGGATGTTTTTACAGTTTTCCGTCACCCCTGTGAGTATTTATGTAATGGCAAGAGCAGGAAGCTGAGATTTCCGTGCCTGCCATGAATGCGAAAACTCTCCCGGAAATGCATAAATGTTATTACTGATGTTGTTATGAATGGTTACAAATGGTATTTATTATGAGTGTAAGCGTGATGATGTGTACCCTAGGACAGGTTAACAGTAGCTGTCTTTACTACGATTCATTGAATGTGCAGCTGCATTCTCTTTTGTAAGCGGTTAGATAACCTCAGAGAAATTACTTAATAACATGTGAAAAGTCCAGCATTCACAAATGTAGCATTCACGACATACGTGATATCAGTAAAGTCCATTTACATTACTATATCAAACATTTTCCTTTATGGAGGCAGGTTAGCATATGTCAGTTATATAATGATATCTAGTGGTGCTAGAAGAAGGCTATTTAGATTATTTACCAATTAAAATACTAATTTTACAATGTGAAAATACTGCATATAATAAAAGCTCCACTTAAATACACACAATCACACAAAAGTCTTGTGACCTTTTAATTTTTTACTAGAGAATACAAGGAACTATGGTAGAAATGGAATTCATAAGATTATGTAAATGTAAAAATGTAAGGAAAATCACAGTAGTTTAAACATTGAGCATTCTTATTTAGTCTATAAGGTTGATTCAGCTTTTAATATGTAATCTTGATGTTGGCTGCACTGAAAAAAATCTGTAGTGAAATGCCTCAACCACTACAGTCACCACCACCTTTCTCAAACATGGCTCAAAGCCACATTCATCAAAAGCAAACTAGTAACAATGACAAAGGACTTGTGCCATGTTGAGTTAATACTTTTTGTAATCGGTTGACAGCTACTGCAATAGAGTACTACTGCAAACAGCAGTATGTTTTTGTTTGAGGAAGTTGTAAACATGGGAATCTCTTTTCATACCATCCTATGACACAAACGTATAATAAACATGATATACATTAAAAACAGAGGTCACCTGCGTCATTTCTAAGGCAAAATGAGTGTCAAATGCTACAACACTGAATCTGTTGGAAGAATCAACTCATATCAAGATGAAATCTGCTGTGAGCTTGTTTACATGCCATACATGACTGTGTGAATTTGTATCTGTTCTTTCATTATGTCTCTCTAGTATTTGGCAAAGAAACTTGGTTTCGACACCTTGTGGCTTGGTTATTTGCAAACCATGGTTGGTTTAATCCAGCTGTTTGGTGGTCCTATGTTTGGAAGGTAAGAAAACATATATATGTAATTCACCAGCACTTACTGTGCTCTAGCTTGAAGTGAATATATCTGCACTTTCCTTGTTTTTCAGAGTTTTAATCTTCTTTTTTTTCGCACTTATTGTAAGTCGCTTTGGACAAAAGCGTCAGCTAAATGATATAATGTAATGTAATACATATTATGTGTTTTAATATTAGCAACCTACAATGTTTTTGTCCAGATGAAAATGTGGGTGCTGTTGTTGATGGCAGGTTTGCAGATATCTTCGGAGCCCGGGCAGCTTTGTCCCTGTCGTGTTCTGCGACAATCGTTTTCTTTCTGCTGCTGGCCATCGCATCGAGTCCTGCCATGCTGTTCCTCCACAAAGTCCCCACAGTCTTCATGCATGTTCTACCTGGTGAGCACCATGCTTCTACAATCCTGCTCACTAAGCTTAACATTTTAAACTTCAAACATTTCTTAGAAACACAGGCTTTTAAGACTCTCTCTTCTGCCTTTGAGAAACATTCAATAACTGTCACTAATCATCTCTTAAGAAGTGGTGGTTATTCTATTTGTATTACAAGCTCAGTTAATTACATATTAACCACATACTCCTAATACATAAAAAAAAAGGATTCATAATATTCTTAAGTGATCTTAAAGAACATTTTGATATCAAGTGGTGATGTGAGTTACAACCAACGTGCAATATTGTTATTGAAATATTTAACCAAATTTCTATGTTAAACCTTTTTTCCATTTGCTTGTATGTCTTCATCCGTTGCCTGCAGCATCTCAGATGGTAGTTGCGGACCTTTCAGAACCTGATAAACGGGCAGACGCTTTATCCAAAATAGGTCTGTGTTTTGGCATCGGAATGATTGCAGGATCCACGTTGGGCGGCCAGCTTAACACACGCTATGGGTGAGTCTCACTGTATGTGGTTTGTTGGAAAATGGGTCTACATTTTGTGATGTTTTTCAGGAAAGGGTAGGTTTGGTTATATCAGACGGTCGAGGTCAGCATTGTTTCTATACTGCAGGTGAAGCTCTTCTCTGCACTATGTTTCCTAATGATTATATTAAGTTATACAATCATTGTCTGACCTATTATTATTATTATTATTGCTGCTAATGTTAATAAGGTAACTATTACTTTACACTCCTAGGAGAATTAAAACATTCACAGTTGGAAAGTTATTGTCAAAAGGATTTTTTCCCCAAGCTATGAATAATAGGTGTACTAGAGTCTCTAGACTATAGCTTCATTGTACTACTCTTTAATGTTGACCAAAGTTATCTGATTTGGAAATATTCTTTGCATAAATATATAATGAAGCACTAAAGTTAGGACGAGAAGCATGTTTCTAACCCCTGCTGTTCCCATGTTAAAGCTGCACTAATGGATATTTTGATATTGAAAGTATATTGAATTATTATAGTGTAAAAGGGGTTGTTGTCTGTAGTGAGGAGCCCATGAAGCTAATCTTTTAACAACTTCATAAGTTAATAATATGTGAATGTGGTATTAACAGCTTTTTCTCTTGAACAATGTCGCCTAAAAGTAAACTAATGACTTTAACTAAACATTATGGACAGAATAATATGATAATTTGCTTTGTAATGTATAAATAATATTTAAGTGGGTATCATTTTTATTATTTTTACAACATCTATGTCTATCTACATAACATTTCCATATTTGTGTCCGCCTCACACTTCTTTCATTTCTTTCCAGAGAGACGTTTACTGCATGTGTTGGTGCTGTGGGGAGTGCCTTCAGTTTACTGTTGGTTTTAAAGTTTATCCCAACAACTACCAAAGCTCAAGCTACAAGAACCAACAAAGATAGTAAGACACACTTCTGTTTGCTACACTTAATGTTCACAGCTTTTGGTAATCTGTATAATGCTGATACGTTCAGGTTTATGGAAACAGGTTTTAGGAAGTAGCCTATTGGTGAGCAGGTTTCACTGTCTGACCAAAATCACATTAGTAGTAAAAACCTAACGTTATCGACTTATAACAAACTACGTCATGGCTGCATGACTTTACATCACCGTCTCTAAGTTGAATTTGCACTACAGTTTGACTAATAAGCAAACTACAAAATAAAGTAGTTGCTGTGGAACCTGTGGAATGCAGCCGCTGGCACCGCTTGTCATGTGACAAGAAACAACCAATTGCAGCCGAGAGATATCTTTACTTCCGTAAACACAAGTGTACGGCAAAATGGTGGAGGTTAATTTAAATTGATTTCAGTGCGGGTCTATCGTTACCCCGACGTTAAGATCGGTCCAGTGTGTCACCCATTTCCATGTTATGAGCACCGCTGCTAAAATGTCTCACGATGTCAGACGCTGTCGGGTCTCAAATGCCGGTGTCCGGAACACACACACAGCACACACACACACACACACACACAAACACAAACACAAACACAAACACACAGATTAGAGCAAAGCAGAGATAGAAACACCGTTTTCCATGGCAAACACTGCTGTCCCACGAAAACTATTTAAATACAACTTTAAAGAACAACACCCTGAAGAAGTTCAGATGGTTGCTTAGCAACATTAAGCGCGAACTGCCTCAGCGCCCCTGAGAAGTAGCTGCACAAGACCTCGCGTTTACGATGCGGTAAAAAAAAAACGCTCTTGTGTGCTCTTGGCTTTAAACTATACATTTTAAATCTTGCAGAGACCCAGTGTTACTCTGTAGAGATCTACAGGGAAGATGGAGAGCTTGGCACCTGACATTGACGAAAACAATTTGCACAAGACAGGCCCCGTTTCAGCCTATCATCATTATGTCCTGTCATCCATCCTTCCCGATGCTCAACAGGAATTCCTCTGCATGCAGAAGAAAAACAAAGCTTTGGAAAAGGAGAACGAGATCTTCAAGAAGAAGGTTGAGTCTTTGGTGACTGATTGTGAGCAGTTTAAAGCAGAGCGGCAAAGAATCCACAATGTGATCAAAAACAGAGACCACCAGAGGAACCAGCTGTTGCACTGCAAAAATGAACTGTCTGCTTTGGGTAAGAAGATGGCCTTCCAGCAAACTGAACTGAAGAGAGAGCATAAACAAAATGAAACTGTCAAAGAAGAGCTGGAGTCAGTTAAAAAAGAGCTCCAGTCAGTGAAGCAGGGGGCTTTCACCCAGAGGACAGAGCAGCAACACCTGAAGCAACAGCTGGACCAGGTGGTCAAAGAGAGAGACATTTTGAATGACGCTTTGCTACGCTGCAAACTTGAATGTTCAGAGTTGCGTGAAAAGATTTGCTACCAGCAATCGAGCGCGAACAAGAAGGACTGTCAGTGCAAAAAGCAGATGAAGGAAATCCACTTCCTCAATCTAGAGAAGCAGACACTCGAGAAGGAGAGGTGCATCACTGAAAGCAATGCAGAGGAACAGAAGCAGGAGCTCCGAAAGTGTGAGAAAGATCTCCAGACACAGAAGGAGAAATTCAAAGAGAGCAAAAAAATGCAGGAAAAGGGGAAAAAAATAGCCATAATCCAAGAAAGTCCTCGCAAAATCAAACAACCAAGACAAAAGGTGCCTCACCCGAAGGTTCAGTCTTTACAGAAAGAGCTGCTCGCCCAGGCGGAGGAGCTGAGGGCCACGCAGAAGCTCTGTGAGGAGCTGAAGAAAAAAGTGACCGAGGTAGCTGTGCAGTTCGAGCAGTGCCAGGCGACGATCAGGGACCAGAAAGAGAAGCTCAAGGCAGTAACAGCAGAGAGGAACATGTACAGAAGTCTGACTGAAACACTGGGGACTGAGTTAGTGGACATCAAAAAAGCGCAGCGCAGCGAAAAACAGCTGAATAAAGCGACCAAGAGGGCAAAGAAAGTCAAGGTGCCATCAGAGGAAAAGTCAAAGGGGTCCCATCTCCCACCAACATCCAGTAAAGTCCAGATGCAGTCCGATTTAAGGATTATGGGGAAAAAACTTTAGAGTTTTTCCTTCTCCTCTTCTGAATAAACTGACATAACGCCATTCTGATGTATTTGTGTTTGTCTGTGTGAGGTACATTTGACAATCCTGTTTTGAATTTAGTTTAAAAAAAAATACAATATATGAACTAAATAAAAATTAAAAATGATAATTCCAATTAAACAAAGCTTTACATCTTCAACAAATGTAATACTTTGCCTTTCATTAATTACTAATAACTTGTGTATTGTTTGAAGGAAAAGACAAATATACATTGTGATTTTGGGTTACACTGATGTGTTACATTGGTGATGATGATGGGGAAAAGCAAACAAAAATAAGTATGCTGTTATGGTTGGAAAAAGTTTTTTCAGAGTTGTTTTGACAGCTGCCAATCCTTTGTTGCTTGTCATCGATTATACAGAATCTTAACTAACAGGTATTGTTCCTAAAGATTTACTGTATCATTTTGATTTCACTGCAGGTGAGAACAAAAGCAAGTCAATATTCAACGTGGGAGAGATCACAAGACTGTTGAAGTTTCCAGGTGTGATGCGGACTTTTGTTGTGAAGATAATTGCAGGTTTACCATCAGGTGAGAGTTTCTGTGAGATTCCACAGAGAACATATGTGCTCTGTGTGAAGCACACACTTTCTTCCCTCATATTCCTCTGTTCTCTGAAGTACTGCTCTTCTCTTTCCTCAGGGATTTTTCAAGTAATGTTCTCAATCATTGCAATGGAGTTCTTCAAGCTGAAACCCGAGCAGAACGGCTATCTGATGGCTTATTTTGGTATAACTTCAATGGTAAGTGTCACGTCAAGTGAGTTTTTGCACTCATGATGCTATCTGTAAGACAAAGTCAATAAATCCTGGGTGTTTGTTCAGGTTATTCAGGGAGGAGTGATCGGTCGGATGACTGCGAGATACTCTGAGGGCTCGCTGCTGCTTATGTCCATAGGAATTTCTTCTTTGGTGGGACTTGCTCAGGTACACACACGCACAAATGCAAGGCTTATACTGTCATAGGCTGGGTGTATTTAAAAAACTGCACTAGTCCATTTATAATAATACCTGAAAAAACGGCTTTGTTTCAGTTTGGTGAAACCAAATGATTCAATCTGTATGTTTTTTCCTTGTTTATCATTTCCTAATATCTTCCTTCATTTTGTATTTCTTCTACAATCATCCAATAGTGGTTGAAATATTTCACTTCAAGCAACAAGTCTGAACCAGCCAGTACTGCTAGAGCAGATAACCAAACTCATTAGACTTTATCTTCTGGGGATATCTTCTTTACCTCCTGCACCTCTTGCTCGGAAATGTTTTTATTTTATTTTTTATTATATCTATTTCTTTCTTTCTTCAGGCTTACATGCAGAATGTGTTCCAGTTCTGCCTTACCGTCATCCCGATGATGTTTGCTCTCAGTACGTTTAACGTCATCACAGACAGCATGCTCACCAAGAATGTACCGTCCTCTGACACAGGTGAGCTCCTCCTGCATCCTTTCTGCACAACATTCATAAAACCATTAACAGCAGGCACTCTTTCCATGGCTCACATTTCACATAGGGACATTCTGTTCACTTGATTTGTAACCAGATCTGATTACTGCGGCTTTAAACTATTTAAGGGAATGAAGTGTCATCTTACAAAATTCTAATCTCTTATGCTTCAGTGTCATGTGTTAAAAGCTCAAACCAAAAAGAACAGAAAATAATCTGAAGACTACAGGCCCACTTTTTGTAATCCAGCTGTTATTAAACCTGCTTTGCTCTTGTCCTCAGGCACGATGCTGGGGCTGTGTGCATCCGTCCAATCTCTTCTTCGTACAGTGGGACCGACGGTTGGTGGCTTCCTGTATGTGAACTACGGAGTTTCCTCCATAGGCTTTATCCAGTTTGTCGTGAATATAGCCGTGTTTGTGTACCTGCTGCAGCGCCACTTCACAAAGACAGCCGAGCACATGGAATAAAATATTTTAGTTTTTTTAAAAGCTTATTTTTCGTATCCAATTCATCCACCAACTGATAGAGGAGCTGGAAATTCAAGGTTAGATTTTTAGGGACAATCATCTCTACATGTGCATATATTCAATTAAATCTGTCTCAGGTGTTACATGATGAGATAAGGTCAAGCCTTTCCACTCCTCCATTACTCAGATTTTGTTGCTGGTGGAGATGCAGGATTTTGGTTTTTGATGACTGGTTTTTGTTGCTTTGGTGGAGATGCAGGACTCAACCACTAGATGGCAGCAAGCCCTTAATTTTACCAGATGATGCTGTTGTGTTCCATCATTCACATTAGGTAAAATCACTTTTAAACACACTTTAAAATCCGTTACAGATTTTATCAAACGTAATCAAAAATGATAAAATATTAGACATATCAACTAACTCCTAATAGAACACAATTATATCAGATTTTTTTTAAATGAAAGTTTATTTTCTTATTGTTTAATAAATATTACAAATATATATATAAATATATTTTTGTACATTTCTTTATTAAAAAGCATAAATGCATTATAACAGAATCTTGCAATTCACTTCATCTTAATAACTGCTGCTTTAACTCACTTGACAGTTTAAGTGTCTCATGATGGTCCAAATACTTTTTTGCGTGAATAAACATTTGGCAGAAACACTTAATATATCTGTAATTTGAATAGTCCTATAAATAATATAATATATATTGTCAACACATTTCATCCTTTTCAGCATAGTGACGACAGTCCGGCCATTAAAAGCACCTGCAACTTTTACCCTTCTATTAATACTATGGAATTAGACTGGATTTATTTCATGGTTTTCGTATATATATACATATATATATGGGGGAACTTGACAGACAATCAGTATCTCGTCGGCGAGTTGTTAGCTTAGTTAGTTTCACCAAAAGAGATTCCCCTTTAAACTTCTCAGGTAGTTTCATTTGAATAACTGCCTGAGGACCAAAGAGGTAAAACAGACCAGTATTCACAAAGGAATCCTAAAAAATGAAAAAGGTATTGTCCATTTGATCTTTTTTTGTTCTTCTTTCCTCTTTAATTAATCACCGTCTATCTTAGGATCCTTATGACGGGAAACACTGAACTACCTAACTGTTAATAAAGTACAATAGATTAATTACCCTATTTAAGTTATAATGCATATAATCAAATAATGTAAACTATATTCATTTATCAGTTACAGTAGACATTTATCTCCAGAATAAGTACTTCAATATTGTTTTAAACAGGAATTAGTACTAGTACAGGAATAGTACTTTTTGTACTAGTACTGTTACTTTAAAAAAAGGATAGAAATACTCCCAACACAATGCTAATACTTATTAACAGATATTATATCGCAAGTGTAGAAAAATGACATGCTGTGTGGAGGATAAACAAATCCTTTGTGAATAATCAAAGTTATTCATATTTATTTACAGTTTTATGCTTTCTCAGTTACCAAGCTGTATCATGTTGGAGTGATGTCATACATTCTGCAGCAGCTGTTTTCATTGTTTCTACAAAACACACCCTTAGACATATTACATCCTGCGATCCGGGATAAATGTGACGTCATTTTAACGGGGGTCAGTGGTGTTACGGAGATATTATGGAGCAGGCACCTTCAACAGATGTCACTGGTGTGATGTCTTCGCCCGTCTGTTGGTCCAAATATGTGATAAGAGGAGCAACACAAACAGCGGACACTTTTACATCAAAATGACATTATTAAAACTTAAAATGTATTCTTGGTTTTAGGCAAAGTATTCAGCCAATTAAGGTAGTCATTTTAGTCTTTTTAAAACTTAAAACATAGCTTTTTTTGTTATTGAACATTTTCAATTTTACAATTGCAATTAAAAGGCGGTGTAAGGCATTCACTTTAGAATGATTTGAGTGGGTTTTAATACCAAAATTCTTATGTCAGAATTATGAATGCGTGGGTTTCATCTGGGATAAATCTACTCTGTTTTTCTAAATTAACTGAATTATGAACTCAACCTTCACTTGCATTATTATAGATGCTTAAGTTACTTTTAAACATGTTTTATTCAAATGTCAAAATATTTTTTATTAAATGTAGGCACATTTAAAGGATATATTTAGTAACTCTTAGCTAGCAGTGTGACCTGTTTAGGCGGAATGCACCTTTAATGTGATCAGCAGTCTCAATGCCAATCCCATCATCTGAGCCTGATCCCGCATCTACACCTGCTCATTTCTCGCTGTAGTCTGAGTCTGCGAATGTATCGCTCACACACACATTTGTTTTGCAGCCATCTGTGTCGGTGCGTCTCTGCTGACTTTTTACACTCAACCCGTAAAAAAAAGAAAAAGCACTTGCTCTTGAATTTTCTCCCTCTGTCTCTCTATCTGATACTCAAAGGAACTGTAGATGGGTTTGAAGGGTGTCACTGTATCTGTGGACCCAGGGGGGCGGCCCTGACCACTGGAGGGGGTGCCTTGTTACACTTGGCCCTTTGAGTCATGGGGAGCGGGGACAATGCTGCTGTTAACACTCCTGACGGGGACCTTTGGGTTCTCTGAAATTTTAATGTGACTCTGCCAGCGACCTGCGCTCACTGAGGTCAGAGATGAGCGCGGCCCGGCGTCGCTCCAAGGTTGCCCCGTGTTGGTGCATTGGAAACTGTACGCCGGCGGAGGGGGGCCACTGGGTCCTGGGCTTGTTTTGTCCCCTGTGGAATGGATAATGAGGCATCTGTCTCCACATGCCGCATGGAGAGACGAGGCTCACTGTCACACTTAAAAAGAGCACAGGTTACCTATCTGATTTGTCCAAGGCAGGCTGGGGACATGATCTGAAGCAGAGGAGCCTTCAGCCTAAATGTTTTATACCAAGGCTTTCTTATTGCGCTGGGTGCTGCACCACACAAAGCTCCTTATCGAAACACTTTGTCTGGCTAGGTGCATCTCGAAAATTAAGATGCAAAACAACATAGAATGAGTCACCTACATATTGTCATTCTTCCCAAAGAAAGGGGGAAAACGTGTTTTGATAAGCTAAATATAGAGGATAAGATTTATTTGTCACAATTTACAACATGGTGCTGAATCTTGGTGAGAAATAATACAAACCTGCATGTGACAGCAGCTCAACATGGCCACTAACCCCCCGTCATCCTCTCCCGCGATCCTCGTGGAGCTGGTGGAGTTGGCCACAGGAATGAAAGGTGATCTTGGGGGGGTTTTGTCTTGGTGTAATCAGACAGCGACATCATCAATCATGAGAGGGTGAATTACAGTGGGGTACAATGGGAGATAAGATAATGAGTGGGGCCTCAGCGACCTGCTGAGGGAAAGCTCGAGTTCCCGTCCTGATTACATGGCAGCGGCACGACTGGCTGCAAACCTCTCTGAGGAGCTGGCTGCAAAAATCCAAGATGGAGAACGACACTATTTGTCCAACTTCATCATAGTGAATAGAGAGAATTAGCTGTAGTTCATGATCATTTCCACTGTATGAAAATGGTGTTTAACAGGTTTAATGTACTACAGAATCAACAAACGAAGCCTAAAGGAACAGCGCTTGTGCAATTTTGTAATCCATTGTTTATTGGTCTGACGACGATAACTCTCTGATGGCAACAACCAATATTCCAAAGGTTCTCTGGGCAAATACTCCTTTGTTCAAGCAACGGTCATTGTTTTGAGTCTGATAAACAACTTGAGACACAAGAATGGAGTTGAAGTTGAGACAATAATATCAAAGGTGTTCATCCTTTTGAGGACCATCGTATTTTATTGTTTTATTATGTAATGTTCTTTGTGCAGTAACATTTCTGACCTACATTATAATTCATGTCCCAAGATAACACATGATACAATAAAACCCAGTCAACAGGTAACAGGTGCCACTGCTCCTACACATGTTGGTATAGTGAAAATAGCTGTCAGAGTTCAGAATCTGAATTTGTTCAACTTATGAATTATATATTGTATATGTTATATTTACAAATGTCTACTTTACTAAGCAAAAAGCTAGGTGTAAGCAGGGTTTAAATATTATCTTCTTCACACAACTGTGGTCCCTTTTCATGTGAACAACAAAGAGCACAGAAGAAGAGAAAAAATAGCAGCAGCTTTTCTGTTTTTGTATGTGCATGGGACGGACCAGCAACAACTTGTATAATCAGGCCTTGATAGGCAATCACCGTAGTTATGTGCATAAAATGGAAGAAAATAGACTCGGAACCTGGAAAAAATATGTTTAGGGTTGCTAAAAACTGCTAAGAAATGGCTTGTTAAGAAGCTTATATTCTGTCAGATGTTGGAAACAATAGAAACAGACTGCTTGTCCAACATAAACCTCAGCCAGGATAACGTTTGTTTGCAGTCACAGTTAATCATTAGAAACCATAACCATTTTGGCCGTTTGATCATAGTTGTTAGCTAATTAACCAACCAATATATTTAACCTGTACTGATTCAAATGTGTCATCAATTCATTTTATACTCTCTTATTAGTATACACATCGCTCGCCTGCAGGAGACTGCACATGTGAAGGAACAACAGACTGTTTAATATCTCATCAGACATCCTAATACACAAGCTACCCCCTCCTCTCCTGTGCTGCCATGAAGCGTGCTCGTCGTATGTCAGCACCCTGAGCCCCATGACGCCCGGGCTATTCCACACTCTCACTCCCTGACATGTGCCACCGCTCGCTAATCCTCCTCTGACGCTCCTCTCTGCAGCATCACACTCAAAACAATAAATGACCACTGCGCTGACCTCAGAGGGCAACTGGCCCTCACTGCATCTTCCATGTTCCCCCTGTGTTAGGCCATATTGGTTTTCTATCAAATTACAATTAATAAACAGGAGCTTATTAGACGATTATCTTATAGAAAAGCAGGGAACATAGGGGTGGACCCTTTATACTGCATCTGCTGCCCCATGGAAATACATTGTTTTCTTCAGGATTATAACAGTTGGAGATTTGGATTTTTGAAGATAATATGGTTAAAACAGAGAGGATGTG